GCATTGTAAACGAGAGAAAAATAATACACCCTGCATGGTTGCAGCAGGAATTTTGAGAAATGCTGAATGATTTGTGGAGATTATCGCTCCTTCGAACAGTTCTCCTTTTGTAGAATGCTTCGCAAAGATGTTCTCAGCAAAGGCATAGGAAACTTATTTAGAAATATTTATAATCACAACTAAGCCCTTATATTGTATCTGCAACTACCCACTTGCTAGCGACCCGTAGGGTCGCTAGTTGCTTTATAGTTTAGATCTAAATAAGTTGAAGGAGAACTACAGAATTACATAAGGTTCGTTAAAAGATGTGGAGAGAAATCAAAGATCAAAAATGTCTATATACTTTTAGAGCATCCTGTATATCAATCCAAAATTTTGAATTAGTGTTATATGTTTGGACGGTTTCGCTGAACAGTATGATGAAGAGCCGTTTTTCTATGTAACAGAAGTTGCTCGATCTCACTAGTCAAGGACGCCACGGTTACAAATGAAAGTGTCTTTTGAATTTCTACGAATTTCTTTACAAACCGTCATGGAGAACGCCTTAGGTCTTCTCAGGTCACTTCAACCCCCCTCTAAACCGTTTTTCCATCATGATTTGTAACATAAAAAGTGTTTATGCATGCATTGACGTCCCCACGGGAGGGGATCGCAGCTTTAAAGAAAGCTTCATATTCTGAAGTTCCAGATACCTGAATTTCACGTTGTGTACCTATCCGTAAGTATTCCTACTATCCTTCACTATAAACGCATTGAACAGAAGAGAAGCTGTACAAGCCGCATTTTCCAGCTTTTGTATGATTCCTGATGATTTCTCTTCAAAGTCATTTTTCTTTTTCCGAAGTTAACGAAAAGCATCAAGTTGTGCAGTTATCTAACCCAACAGTGCCTACAATGTTGCTGATACGATATGCGATATGCTGAACAAGCGATGTATGGGAGAAGTCATGAAATTTGCGATAAACCACAAGTCGAAAGTTGGGGTTTACCAAAAAATTCAATTTTTCAAAAACTCATTTATTCTCATCAGTAACATGCTTAGCACTGTTGTGTTAGATGATCAGTACAACTTTGGAGGGTTTTCGTTAATTTTGGAAAAAAATTGATATTGAAGAGAAGCGCCCGGATCATCAGGGATCATACAAAAGCTTGAAAATGCGGCTTGTACAGCTTCTAGGTCCTGTTCGATGTGTTCGTAGTGATGGATAGTAGGCATACTTACGTATAGGTACACAACGTGAAATCCAGGTATCTGGAACTCCAGAATATGAAGCTTTCTTTAAAGCTGCAATTCCCTTCCCGCGGGGATGTTAAAGGCAGCGGCTCGGCAGATTTTGCAATTCCATCATTTTGCGTGTTTTGAGCCTTCTCGACCCGTATCCCGAATCTGAGCTTTAAAAAGGGTGAAAAGGCCTTTTTGGGGCGTTTTTTTTCAATTTCCAAAAGGCAGCTCGGACGAGAATTTTCAAAGGAAAGTCGGGAGGCCCTGGCACGAAGAACCCTGCTGCCTGTAATTTTGGCTTTGTATGCATGCACAATGCGGGAAAGCGGTTTGGGGGTCCCGCGCCGTCTAGCGGAGAGTACTCGTCCGAACAAGGTGTTAGGGGAGCGAAAGGAGGAAGGGGAGCGGCGCTTGGGCCGTTCTCCTGGCTTGCAGAGTTCACATTTTCGGCGCGGAGTTGCTGTTTTGGTTCACTTGGAGGGCCTCCTATCCATCTATGTCAAAATCTGAGGTAGGTCAATCTGCCGAGCCGCTGCCTTTAATGCATGCGGCCATTAATTTAAGTCTAAGAAAATTTAATTTGAAAGATATTGTTGTCATTTTCACAGGAATTTTCGCAAAAATCTTGCTTTTATCATGAAGAGCTAGAAACACAATTTTCTAGCGCTGCTAAGGTATTTTAGAGTTTTTCTCGCTATACCAGCTTCACTTAAAGGCAGCGTCCAGGCAGATCTGGACCTATGGGGCTTTTACGTGGAAAGTACTTTTGGGGCCTTAACTAAGGCACTGCCCAAGCGGCAGCTCAGGTAGTGCTGTAATGGCTGAGATATTCCCCTCGAAACTGGACCCCGCGACCGTGTTTCGCATGGATTCATGGCGCAAAGCGTGGATCCTGACGCGAAACTGCCATGAATCCATGCGAATACGTTCGCGGGGGCCGGTTTCGAGGGGAATACCTCAGCCATTAGAGCACTACATGAGCTGCCGCTTGGGCAGTGCCTTAGTTAGGCCCAAAAGTACTTTCCACGTAAAAGCCCCATAGGTCTAGATCTGCCTGGACGCTGCCTTTAATATCACTTCTAGCTGTGAGTGCATTCGCGACTTAACCCCAGATGCTATCTGTTTTTTACATGCTATGCGTGAAGGTGCATCCAAGTGATGGATCTACAATAGAAGAAAGATTAATCCAAGCTTTTCCTAAATTATTACTATAGAAGAAAGATTAATAGCTTTTCCTAAATTATTACTAAGTAGTGTTTTTTTTCTTGGGCTTTTGAGCTCTGCAATCCAAAATGCTCAAAAAAAGTAATCACCTCGTCGCAAATCTACCAAGTCACTGCTTCTAAGAGCTTCCAAAGAGAATGCTTTTTGAGTTGTCGTCCTCTACCCTTCCTGCTACCAGAAATCTTTATTCTTTACATCAATATTCTTTGAAAGACTTCTGCATTAACTTCGTGATAAGACGTATCTGCGCTGCGTAATGGTGTAAGTTGAAGAACTGGTGCAGGTGGTAGGACGGTGAAAGGTTGATTAGTGCTGATGTAATTCGAGCAGTACTAGTGCGCCCACGTTCGAACTCACGCGTCAGTTCAGCTAGTGCAGACCATTCAGAACATTTTGTCAGGGCCGTTGCCACCTCCTTGACAGCGCTACACGGACGAAAACCGTCAGTCATTTAAGTGGCGGCGACTGCTTTGACATAGCTCTGGAACGCCCCAGCCCGTCTATTTAGGGCATAGCGGAAAATTCATTAGATTTCTCAACTTCAAACCAATTGCCCCCGTACCCTCCGCACAGTGTTCGTCTGCCGCTTGGGACATCGAATAGCAGTACGACCGATGAGGGGGGGGGGGAAGAAATCTCAGATGCGGAGACGTTTATAAAGCCTTTCGGCAACGAAACGGATAAGATAAGACTGAAGACTGGTTTTGATTTCGTATTTACAACGCAAGGAAAGTATCCTCCGCACTTGAGCTTTACGTTCTGGACGCTGCATCGCATTGAATACTATGTTGCATTTCAGGGAAGTCAAGAACAAAATCTCGGCCACGCTCAGGAGTAAAAAATGGAATCGTTGTCATACTAGGCTCCAACACGAAACACTGAATGGGCCGGTTTTGTCATACACCCATCAGTCGCCATTTCGTCACCCTTATGCAATTCTGTCACTAGTAGTCCTTCGAGTTGCCGCTCCGCGTCAGAAGAAGATGAATGTCATCAACCGTTACTCACCCACAGAAGCAGCTGATGAAAGCAAGCTCGATAAGTTTACGAGAAGCTTGAAGACACCATGTACAAGGAGTTGTCCTATAAGTTTATCGTCTGCGATCAACGCAAGGATAGGACAGACGCAAGTTTAAGAAAAAGAGAATTGGCAAACTTGGCCTGAGGAGTCGAAGTGAAAACGGAGACAGACTCGTCGGATGGATAGCAGCGGTTCGTCTATTTCATACAAACTCCTTTACTCGTTTTTCCAAACAAAAATGCGCTGTGCTGCCCGCTTAAAGGCAGTGTCCGGGCAAAAACTCGATTTTGAGGTTTTGTGCTCACCTGGGCCTATTCGCCATGCTGACTTCGAAAATCCACATTGGAAGGCACGAAAACGGCGAAAAAAGGCTTTAACGCAGGAGGGAAATCAGAAGTGGGCGGGGTCTTTCCCACCATGAATTTCGCGGTCCCAGCTTCTGAAGCGATTTCCTCAATTCCGTTAGCGCCCTGAGATCTCCACAGACCAAGTGCAAATGCATGACTTGAAATCGGGACCGAGAAGATCGCTCTGGAAACTTGGAGCGTGAATCCGCAGTGTGGAAGACCCCGCCCACTTCTGATTTCCCTCACGCGTTAGAGCCCTTTTTCGCCGTTTTCGCGCTTTCCAATGTGGATTTTCGGAATCAGCATAGTGATTAGGACCGGGTAAGCACAAAATCTCAAAATCGACTTTTTGCCCGGACATTGCCTTTAAACCAGCTGCGTTTGTAGTTTTGATTTGATTCAGTAACATCCAGATCGCAGACGCGCAGCAAGGTGTGTGGATGAGGATTGCCCGAAACCGCAGCGAATGGTCAAAAATTGAGGCCCGCACAATCTGAGCGATCTAAGTGATCAGTGCACAGGTGTAAAAAGAGAGGTAGCCTGATTATGAGCAGTACTGCTACATGATGAAGCCGTATTGGTGATCTTACGGTAGCCGTATTAGATTGGGCGGCGTTTTGAATTGAATTGCTTTTCTATTGTATTCATATTCGGTTGCCCCATGACTCTTGCACAAGACCTTCAGAATCGTTCAGAGGATAGACTTCAGGTATTTCTTGTTGTATGTGGTTGTTGGAATCGGTAGGAGTATTCAAACGGCACGAGTTTTTCTCTCAATCAGTCAAATTTGCTGTTTGTGAAACTTGAACCAAATTAAAAACAGAGTTCATTGGACACTAACTGGCAAAACCAAACCCGCCCGGCCATGTCATTGCAAAGTCTATGAAATCACCGATCAATGACGAAAAGTAGCCTACGACACCCGCCCCGCCCCGAAGTTTCTTTTATGACAAAAAAGTACATCACAATTTCCAAATTTGGTGTAAAATTCATAGAGGCAACTTGACCGAAGCAGTTGTGGTCTTTTCCTAAGGTTTTTTCCACTCACATTTATGCAGTGGATGCTCAATGGTATTAAATCTATGACAAGAACAGTGGTAAGAGGTTATTTATTAGATTAACATCAATATTTTACGAAGCACTCCTTTTAAGACTCCAACATTTTCGTCATGATTACTCAATTCTGTCAACAACTGCTGTAGAGCGATCTCTCCCACTGCTCTATATCCAAAGGTTTTTGCTTCAAGAGAGATTCTTCTGCTTTCTTCTCAAATTTCTCAGCAAGCGATTCCTCTCGGCTCCATTCATCAAGGTGTCTAATGTAGGAAAAAACTTGTTAGATCATCAAGTCTGCAACAGCTTACTTACTCAGCAGTCTTGCAAAAGACCAATGAATCCATAGAAAAGCTCGACGCGCATTCCATTACAGTTGGCTCTCTGCTACCATGCATTGTCTGCATAAACTTGGATAAATTTCTTTTTCTGCTGCATGTAAGAACCATACCCTTTCAAACTCAGGTGCACGCAACCATGAGGTAGTTTTTTCATAAAAACTTAGCTCCTTTGTGGCAAGATTCCCCTCATTGTAGTGATAATACTGTCTAGAACAAAAATGTTGCATTTCAAAGTTAAGTGTAATCTATATACATATAAAACTCAAAAAATTGTCGTATGTGGAGGCATGTGCGTTATAGAAACGCGCGCCGCTCAACCAATTCAGCTGAAACTTTGCACACATATGTATTCGACACCTGTGCAGAGGATAGGCTACTTTTTGCAGCAATTCGTTGAGTCCTTCTATCGATTTATTGATTTGTTTACGTTTTTCTATAGAGAAGGCTTATCATGTTTAATTAAGCATTTTCCCATCGCCATGTAAAGAAGGGCGGTGAAGCTCATTTTCACCTCAGGATCACGAGGATGCGGTTTCGAAGAAAATGTCCCATAGTAAGTCATTCATAGCATATAAGAGGGGGGGGGGGCTCGCAGTGCAGGTGAACAATGGCCCGGGCTAGACCGGGAAAGCCATCTAGTAATATAGCGTATAGCGTATGCATAATGTAGCGAGCAAACTTGAGATCAAAATACACTAGAGAAGGTGCACGATTGAGTCTTTTTGCTCGCTCGAGGGTTTTTTCTGAGCAGATTTGAGTTAGACTAAATTTGATGTGACATTAAAGGGGTTCAAGCTAATGCCAAATGTGTCCTTTTAGAGGACATGACACCGTTAAGATTTTCCAGCTGCCCTTTTTAAAGGTTTTGGACTGCGATACACATAACCCCAGCATTTGAGAGGACAATGCTCGTACACCCATGCACATTGGGAAGCAAGCCAAATCAAAGTTGTTCAACTATGTGGTCCAGAACATACCAGGCGATGAGCTTGCTGGAAACGCAAGTAAGTTCACTTACAAGTGATGAGGAAAGGCATAGATGGTAGCTACGAATGAATTTTTATGCATCTATTAGTCTGCAAAAACGACTATCAGAACATAAGAACGTTGAGTAGTTTAACATCAAATAGTGTATTAAGAAAAATACGGGACCTTCAAGATATTACAAATTATGCTTAACCTGGTTAAGCATAAACATATAAGGAGGTATGTGGATATCGCTGTAAATTTCATTTTGCGAAGAGCAAAAATATAGGTCGGTCCAAAAGTTCGCGCTATTTTTCAGACCCATGATCAAACCACTAGAATAAAGATAGACAAAAGCTATAAGCACCTAATGCAGGGTGTGCTTATAGCATTTGTCTATCTTATATAAAATGGTAGCAAATGGTACCCAGGCGCCGACTGCTTGTGAAAACCGGTATGCGGCAAACGTTGAGGGGCTCGTTAGCCGTGGAGCGCGTCAGCGCAATCATTGACCACAGTCATCTGATGTTGGCCCACTTTCGCCCCTCTTTATCACGAGACTGATTCGCTAATGTTCCATAATCGATGCAAAACCAAAGAAATATTTCGAGCAAAACCAGAAAATCCACTTTTTATTGTCAACTAAGCTCTCTTTTGAGGATAAACCCTACAATTGTCAATCGAAGCAGACTCGTTAGGCCTCGGACAGAGTTCACGCGATTTGATCGTCGCGGTTTCCATTCATTTTCATTTTACGTTCAAAAATTCCGGGCTGGAAAAGTATCACAACCGAAATGCAAGCTGGTCGGCATGCAATGAACTCGTAAGGCAAGGGACATACCTCACGCGATTTCAGTCGCCACGCGATCTGGCAATTTGCCAGATGTCTTCAGATTCAATACTGGTAGACCCCAAATGCATAGCATGTATAGCTTTCATAGGTTGATAAAATGCCCCATCTTCCGTACATTCAGAAACCCCGTACGATGAGTTATGAACATTTGGAGTATTGCCAAATCGCGTGGCGACTGAAATCGCATGAGGTATGCCCGAGGCCTAACAGTTGTATTTTCGCGATTGAATCGCTACGACCAAATCGCGTGAACTCTGCCCGAGGCCTTAGGATTTATCAACCAAAGCACCTTCCACAACAATCACAAACAAAGAAAACGCACTATTGAGTACCTTAGAATATGGAACAGAAAGGTTCTCGAGAGCACAAAATTAGCCACGCTTGTGACCAAAAAGTTCTCTTTGAGAATAGATCTTACAGCTGTGAGGAAAAGGCTCGTGAGGATGATTTATTGATTAAACACCTTTTATAACGATCACAAACAAAGGGAGCACCTTCGAAAGCCTGAGAATATGAAACAAAGACTTCCAAGAGGAGTTACAATAGCCATGCGTACAAAAACAGCACTAAACCACTATAAATTGAGAATTATCTAGATGCAGTGATAGGTGCGCTACCTTTGACAGTGTCACATGACTTTATTAGATTTGAACATGTTGCACCGTTTCGATTCATTGAGCAAATCAAAGATATGGAAGTAGTTTTGACCGAAGTGTTCAACACGATGTTCACCGGATTAGTAATACCAGAAAGAATGCACTAAGTGCAGCAGAAAAAGCATGTGCAAGTGACGAAGTGCTAAGCATATTCAAAAAAGAATAAACAAGACTTCGCGTAGAATTGAAAGTATGACTCAGTTGAGTAACAGCTCGACAAGTTGAAAAAAGAAGTGACGAGGCGAAAAAAATCAACACAAACCGGCTCTAGCTGCCACGTACCATTAACGTAGGCTGTCTCTCGCTTCTGCATGACATATAGGTCCATGCTTCAAAGTTCCCGTATTGGAGCAATTAAGATAGCGCAGTATTCTTTCCATCCTCAGGCCCCTTTCCCCACAAAGAAAACATGTTTGCAAGAACACGTGGTGGAGCTGCAGTATTTGTTAAGTCGTATTCTCCGTTAATTCGTCCACCAAGTACAGCTTCTCTTTCTTTCTTGCAGACTTGATTGCGGGAGCGAGAATTGAAAAATGACAATATATTGAGAACACCAATTACACTTTGGCTTAACAGACGCAAACCAATAGTTATTACGCGCCAATTTGGATTAAAAATGACGAAAATGAGACTTTATTGATCAAGAAACATCAAAAATAATGTTAGAGTACGAAAACATGTGAAATGGGACCTCATCAGCTGGTTGCCTGTTATGGCCAACGAATTGCGCTGGCGCCTCCAAGGCTCACGAACCCCTCAACGTTTGCCCCGTACGCATTTCCTGTGCTCCGCAGCCAGCCGCCAGAGCTGGCGTCAGCCCCGCCACATATGATAAAATAATCACGCTAGCCGTCTGAAATCTCTTGCCGAGAAGTTTCATCGCACCTCGTCGCGCTGAGGTGCGATGTCAGCCTCAAGGGCAGCGCTATTATTAATATTTTAACATTTTGAACAGCAAAAAATCCTATAATTTACTGATAAAGAACAAATGAATATACACAGAGAAGAGTTTTCCTAAAGAGAACGGTTATGAAATTCAATTCCTTAAATTAACCAGAAGTTACAGTAATTCAAGATGCAAAGATTCTTTAGTTATCAAAATATTTTTTTAGGATGCAAAATCGGAGAAGAACGTACGGGACATAATGACGAAAAGAAAATCTGTTGAAATTAGCATTTCAAGACTTAGTGGTGTAAAGCGAGCTGAATAAGTTAGGTCAAATAAATGAGCCAAAGTGGGTCAAAAAACGATAGTCACTGACAAAAGTTGGAGCTATGCCACATTTGCTGATATATTAGGTCATTCCGAAAGTAATTTCGCTTTTTTCAAACGGGCGCCACATTTGAAGGAAGAAAGGTTTCTAAGCGATCTTGAAAGCATTCGATGCAGAATTTTATTCTCTTTCTAAGGGTTATGAAAATGTTGCAAAACAGTCAACAGCTTTCAGAAAATAACCAAAATCTGCGACCCATGCTTTTTGAGATGGTCAAGTTTCGCGATTTTTTGAAACTTTCATCTCAGTCCTCTGAGGGAGTTCAAGTAACGGTTCGATAGAGTAAACCTTACAATTCAGTACTGCTTTTTTCTCCTTTCCATAGCTTGTCATACCTTTTCAACAGAATTTTAACTGATGCTACCAATTTCCATACTTGGGCAGCTAAATCCTCGTAGAACATCAAAACAAGAGCAGCTCGCGCACTATTCGATGCAGCATTTTTTCCTTTTTCTGACAAGTGTTTTTTGTTTCCGATTTAGTTTTCGGTGAGAAATCATCATAACTTATTTCTTAGCGAGCCCGGCTGTATCCGAAAAACTCGAATTTGATATTCCGAACCCGTAAACCCCCACCTTTGTGAAATTAATGCTAGCTCATAATACCATCTTGGTAGTCTCAAATTACGAAAAATTATGATGTTTGATGCGATTGTGGCTGAGAAGGGCCTGCTAAAATCCGATGGTTCTGTTAAAAAATCTTTTGAAAAATTACGGCGAGCTGCGAGAAAGAGAAAAAGTAGCACTGTATTCTGTAAGGTTTGCTCTATCGAACCGTTACTTGAACTCCTTCTGAGGACTGATGTGAAAATTTGAAAAAATCGCGAAACTTGACCATCTCAAAAAGCATGGGTCGCCGATTGTTATTTTCTGAAAGCTCATTGAATGTTTTGCAACATTTCCATAACCGTTAGAAAGAGAATGAAATTCTGCATCAAACGCTTCTAAAATTTCTTAGAAACCTTTCTTCCATCAAATGTGGCGCCCGTTTGAAAAAGCGAAATTACTTTCGGAATAACCTAATAAAAGAGAACAGCATAGATTAAGAACTTATAAGGTTGTAAAGAAAGTTCCCGGGCAGTTTTGAACAGTATCATTTTTTCCGCATTCGGTCGAATTTTTACAATATATTTTTCTTGCGATATTTTGTAGTAGACAAAGCTTTCTAACAACGTTAACGTTCATCGATGTCCAATCGTATCCAATCTATATTCCAAAAAAAGAAACACTGCAAAAAATATTTTGTAAAAATTCGACTGCATGCGAGAAAATGATTCTGAGATTGAAATTTCCATAACTGGCTGGAAACTTTCTTTACAACCTAATATATTCTTAATGATCTACGCTGTTCTCTTTTATATTAGCAAACGTGAATGATTTCCACCTTTTACTAGAGATCTACTCAATTTTTGACATACTTCGGCTCATCTAATTGACCTACCTTGGCTTATTCAACTCGCTTAACATCACTAGGTTTTGAAATGCTAATTTTAACAGTTCTCTTTTCATCATTATGTCCGTACGTTCTTCTCCGATTGTGGATCCCAAAAAATATTTTTGATAACTCAACACTATTTCGCATCTTGCATCAATTCAACTTCTGGCTATTTCGAGGAACTAAATTGCATAACCGTTTTCCTTTGGGAAAAACCTACTCTGTGTATATCTGTTCATTTGTTCTTTATCAGTGAATTTTAGGATTTTTTGCTGTTCAAAATGTTGAAATATCAATAATAGCGCTGCCCTTGAGGCTGATATCGCACCTCAGCGCGACGAGGTGCGAGGAAACCTCTCGATAGGAGATTTCGGACGGCTAGCGTTATTATTTTACCATATGCGGCATCGGTGACGCCAGCTCTGGCGGCTGGCTGCGGCAGCAGTCGGCTGCCTGGGTATCACTTGCACGCTTCCCAATGCAGATTTCTTCCTTTCTCTAAAGGTTATGTTTCTCTTCAAATTTCCTGATGCCCGCTCAATAAAATCGGCAGGGATCTCCAACCCATGATTTTCACCCATCTTGAGTTTGGCTAATTTTGAAATATCCATTCTCAACTTTTGGACTAGCTTTGATAACATGTGGATAGACTAAACAAAATGTAAAACAGTGAACTATTTTGGCTTCATAAATTAACTTTTCAGTATAAAATAATTTTTCCAAAAGCCTTTACTATTCCGAAGTCGCGAAATACACAATCTCTTCTAACAAATCTTCGGAATTTGAGACTTCCAGAAACAGCTTATCACTCAACGCTGATTTTAGTGAGCTATTGAGCGTTTAGCGGTTCAAAATTTTGGATTTCAAATCTTCTGATTACAGTCTAGACGAGTCTGGAAACAATAACTACAGTGACTTTATCTTTAGATACAAATCAGGAAGCAAAAAAGCCTATCAGAAAGAGGAGAAAGCTGCATCGAATGACACCCTGATTGTTAGTTGTTTATTGTTCTGCGAGAGTTGAGATGCCTAAATATGGGATTGGACAGCATCGAAAAAATATTTTCAAAGATTATTAGAATTCAGCTGGAGATGCTAAAAAATGTATTGCATTGTATTTTGTGTATATCATCCAATTATCAAAGCTAGTCCAAAGGTGAAAATAGGAATTTGAAAAAGTAGCCAAACTCAAAATGAGTGGACATGGGTTGAAGAGCCTACCGATTATTGAGCGGCCATTGAGGGACTCTGAAGGAAAACATAATTGTTAGAAAGAGGAAGAAGTTCTGCATCGGACAGTGCTTACAGCGTTTGTCTATCTTTATATTAAGTGGTTTGAGCTTAAATCCGAGAAATAGCGCGGACTTTCGGACCGACCTAATAAAATAATTTGGGTCATAATAGAGGCCAAGTGCTGAAATAAGTGACAGCCACTGATGGTATTAGCGAGATGTATGCGGCTGATTTTTTCAGTTTTTTTTCTCGCAAACTTGTCAATTGGTTTGTAAGAACTAATCCCAAAATGATTATAAGTGCTTCTGCATAAAGGGAGAGTACATTAAAGTGCATGGAAACTAAAGGCAATACGCTGGCGTAACTGCTTCGCAGAGCTGTTAGTGCACGGTTAACACATTGACGATCAGGATCTTTCCCGACCAGTCAACATTTTCAAATGAAGTCATGCATTCCATTCGACAGCATACTTACGGTAGCGTTGAAAGCTGGCAAAAGCAGTGGAGGTTATACCCGGTCCAGCGCAAAAGAAAACTCACGAGTTGGGTTGACTAAAGATAGTAGCCACTTTGATGAAAATCAAGCCTTGACACACACTATGGGTGCCACGCAGTCGTCAATATTTTAGATACTTTTATGAAATTTAGCCGCTCGTAATGTTAGGATCGTTTATATACAGATTCAAAGTGTACCGCGATAAACTTCCTGATGCCATTCCTTATTAAGGCTTTCTCATTTGCAGGTGGACCGTACATTAGCCTTGTACAGGGCTCTGCATGAAGCCAAAGGCACCGTCCATCCAGGCCAGACTCTCAACTTCCAGATTTTGTCGTCAGGCCTTCTCATGTCCCTCATTTCGAATATGAAGTCGAGAACGCTCGAAAACTACGACAATCCCCATTCCGGAGAACCCAAAAACCGGCATTTTGGAACGGCGATTAAATGGGCGCGCACGGATGGGCGGGCATGGCTGGGAAGGCCGGTATCGTGTGGGAGTCTTCGTGCATCTTCGTTATTCCGGAGCAATTTTCTCGCTTCCGAAGCGACACTTTGCGCAGCGATTTGGGTATCAACTTGAAAGGGGGCCCTACTATCATATGCTACCAAAACTTAAGGCTCTCAGCTTAGTGTGGACGGTGCTTTCAACAAGGAGGGGGAGGAGTTCTGAAACCAAAATGTTATCATAAGCTAAACTTGAGGCGTAGAACAGATTTGTCTAAAAATTTCGAAAAGTAATGTTGAATGGAAGTTTTGCCCACCTCAAGTGGGCATTAGGTGGGCAACCTTCCACCTAATTTATAAAAAAGGTCAGCACTCTCTTTATTCGCATGAGTCTTTCACAATTTTCATATTTTGTTTCTTAGCCTTACTGCGATTTTTGAAGGTAACCGCGAACAAGATCGTGTTTTGATGCATGTCATGCCGTGATGTCGTGTTTTTGCATGTTGCGACTCGTCGAGAGAGTGCATGCACATGTAAACGCATAATTTTGATACCCTCTTTACTTTCCCCAGCTTGACATTTGTCCATCGCGTACCGGCCTGATTTAGGCGATTGTGTGATAAAGGTCTCGCAAATGCAGAAGTGAAATGCAAAGCTCTCGGAGCTGGTGTCTCAATCAGGAATCTTGATTTATGGTTTTTATCGTTTCTTATGACCTTCTCATTTTTTAATGGATGGTGGAGCTATTACTGCTATCTGTAGGCAAAGCACAACTGGAAAGCCAGCCCGCATAATGTTGTGATTGTACTGCGCGAGACTGTCGCCGTTGAACGCATCTACCTTCACCCACCTTAACGGCGTGTACTCTTCTTGTGGCTCTGGGACGTTATCTTCCAGGCGCTGATTAGCAGTCTTGAACAACTTTTTCTCCATGGACAGAATGGGTATTTCTAAAAACCCAAGTAACATCAGCAGCATGAGATGCAGATCATACCAATAAGGATCGCAATTAGTAGCGATATCAAAAGCGACAGCACGAATGTGGTTATCGTCATAGCCGCAAAATAGGCGAGAGAATGAGGAGAATGCGGCTGTCTTGATGTCCATATAAAGAACAGCAGTATTGGTTCGTGAGCGAGGAATACACCAAATGATAACCTAAACAATTCGATAGGGCAGGCAGAGGGTAATCACTTTAAAGTACCGCGTGAGTAGCAAGAAATGGCGACTCGAAAGAGCATAGGATATCTCTTGAGCTAGACCATTTTCACAGAGCCAGACGAGAATGGCAAGAGCTACTGACCACACAGGTCTGTGAAGGACCGCATGCACATATGAAAGTAGTCCCTAGAAGAATGCTCTATATCTATCAAACTGAGAAGAACTTGACAAACCTGTTCACAGGAAGGCGCAAATATAGCAAAGTAAAATAGCAAAGCGACTAAGACTTTGAGAAAAGTGCAAGTCCAAACGCTTGGGGGATTTTCGATTCTAACAAACACATTCCATCCGGTCAGAATTCCTAAATCGTAACATGCAAGTATGGTATCAAGTGGGGGATAACTCCTAATTTTTGTACAGCTTACCGATGATGAAAGGAGCACACCTGGCAAACGGTGATGCATAGATAAGACGAAATGAGGTCGAAGCAGACTCGAGGCTTTTCTCATTCAAGACATCAGCAAAGATATTAGTGGGGAGTCTGCGAAGAGATGTAGGAATGTGCTGCTCTCATTCCAAAAGAAAGCTTACTTACGAGTAAGATGCGTAGATGACGATCATGTAAACGACTGATGCTATTACTAGTGAGATGCTGGTCGCAAGAGCAAATCGTGAACAACGCCAGAGAAGGATTAAGATTATTGGAGATGCCTCAAAGAAAGTAGGTAGATGCAGCGAGTGACTGCAATAAAACACTTTTCGAGTTTTCAGAACAAATTTGGTGAAGGTTATTTTTGAGCACAGAATTCTGTCTGGCTAATAAACAGTCTTTTATTCATTTGATGATGACTGCGATACTAGTTGAGCAAAGAACCCGTAAGAATTGAATATATAATCCAAAAACATTTAGTGAGCCAAAAACTAGATTTCAGTTCGTAATTCACTGCGTTTACCGTCTATAACACACATTCACATAAAACCACTCTATTTTGTTGGTGGCTAGAAATTAAGAAACAAGAGTAGGGCAAGGATGTTGCTTACGGTCTTTTTGTGGTGATTTTTATGATTTGGGAAATAAGTCATGTATGAGTGTAAAAAAATCTATGATTTCACTACTACGGTACGAATGATTACTTTTACTAACCATGATTCGACTGGAACTAGGCAATCTGAGCCTTTCATTTCATTCCTGCGATGGCCTACTGAAGAAGGTCTTTGGAAAATTAGACTTGCTGCTACAAGTTCTTTTTCAGGGTCAATTGAGCTCCCTCAACATCAAGCCAGTATTTGGGCTTCTTTTCTTTGAAAAAGTATGTGTGTGTGTGCTTCACCAGTCCTGATCCATTCGTATATCGTACCAATGCAAGATTAGAGCAAGAGCACGAGCTTGCGCTTCCAGTGCTTATTTGCTATGTCTTCCAGTTTCCGTCGAGGTTGGAGACGCAGTCGTTGCTGCGGCCTTACGGTTATAACAATGCGGCCCGGAGGGGAGGAAAATATTAGGTCGTTACATAAGTCTTGTTACACTGTAACTTCTTACGACGACTTCACATTTCCAGTAAGACTCCAAATAACCTTTCGATAGAGCAAAGCAAGCTTTACAAGATGGTTGCAAATGTTCGCACCAGCTCGCCGTAAGTTTGTACCCGGAATCTGAGCCGTACCGAAGGTTCAAAAATAATTGAGGGAAATTCACAACTTTGTTCAAAAAATTTCTAGGGATTTCCAATTTGCTCATACAAATTGCACACCACATCAGACATACAAACCATTCCTGTAGTTTTCTTCATCTAAAAAAATGAGAAGACGAAAAATCTCTAGTCTGACGTTAAAGTACTGAGCCATCTGCTTGACAATCAGTTCTGATTTACCGGTTTTTGGTGAATGAAATGACGAGAGCATTGACACTTCATTCAAGGTGCAAGGATCACATGTGAGAGCATCATACGATAAGGGAAAAACTCACGAGATATAACTGGAAATCGACCGCTGTATACCAAAGCCACGGCATACAGTTGGAAGGATACCAGTTGGAAAGGAACAAAAGGTGAGCGTTTACATCTTTAGATGTACAAATGGTTCCAAATACTCCTGCAAAGGTGTTGGTTACTATTCTGCTTGCATATCCCACTTATCATTTGGGTTCAATCATGGCACGTGCTGGTTACTATTCTGCTTGCATATCCCACTTATCATTTGGGTTCAGTCATGGCACATTACACCTCACACGCCAAAGTGTTCAAATCTTATTCACCAGATGGAAAGGAACAAAAGGTGAGCGTTTACATCTTTAGATGTACAAATGGTTCCAAATACTCCTGCAAAGGTGTTGGTTACTATTCTGCTTGCATATCCCGCTTCTCATTTGGGTTCAATCATGCAAAGGTGTTGGTTACTATTCTGCTTGCATATCCCACTTATCATTTGGGTTCAATCATGGCACGTGTTGGTTACTATTCTGCTTGCATATCCCACTTATCATTTGGGTTCAATCATGGCACATTACACCTCACACGCCAAAGTGTTCAAATCTTATTCAAAGTAGATGGCTTACCCGGCTCCGCCCGGTTCTGTCATTATTTTATTCGTAAACAGCATGCTCGATTACCCCTGTACCAACTCCCAGCCTCACAGCTCAAATTTTGCAAAAAATCGATAAAATCGATATCGATCGATGACGAAAAGTAGCCTATGACACCCGCCCAGCCCCGAAGTGTATGTGGGCAAAGTCTGGTCCGGATCGGTTCAGAAATGGAATTTTCTATTCGGAACATACGTACACACAGACAGACATACAGACAGACATACAAACAGACATTCAGCTTTATATATAAGATTTCATCTTCAATCTTAGTTTCTTTAGATTTGCAATGAGAGAAGGCAGTGTCCGGGCGAAAAGTCCATCAAGACCTTATAGTAACGGGCTAAGGGTTGTTTACGTGTTTTTGTGTGTGTGTGTGTGTGTGTGTGTGTGTGTGTGTGTGTGTGTGTGTGTGTGTGTGTGTGTGTGTGTGTGTGTGTGTGTGTGTGTGTGTGTGTGTGTGTGTGTGTGTGTGTGTGTCCGTGTGTGTGTCCGTCTGTTACGAAATTCGTAGAGCGTGTTCCAGCCAGTGTTCTAAGCCCAAATTTTGCACAGTGCATGCTCCCTTCTTGGAAGTATAACATGCAAAAGCACGAGTAGATTCGTTGAGTGGATTCCTCAGAAATTGCGTGCCAAACGGATCCACCTGGCCTCTGTCCCGCAAAATTGGGTCCGTATCACCACTTTCTGCAAATTCGTGGGTGTGTTTGATTAGCAAATGTGCAAACGATGGACTTTAGCCCAAATAGTGGTCAAAAGTTTACTACATAACGAAAACGGCGCCAAAAACAATTGGTTGCGTAAATGGACAATTTGCCAAGGTTCTAGCCAAGCATTTCAGAAGATTTTCGCACAGAGATGTAGCTCACGATTACTATTGCCTTTATGGCGACTACCAAGCCATGACAAATTCAAAAACCTATTCAAATTTGCGTTTGTCTTCCTGTGAAAAGTTTCATCCACGCGAAATCACCGATCTCACGTGAAAAAGCTTTCTAAATGAGTAGTTGTTCACATTTTATTCGTGGTAGTCGGCATAGCGCGGTGAGTTCCAGTGCCACAATTCTACGAGAATGAGTAAGGCACATAGATAGTAGGGCCAATGCGAGCCTCTGCGAAGCAGAGGTGACGCACTGGTTTGTGATAAGTTCATTCAAATACACGTTAAAAAGCACAAAAAAGGACAGAACATGCGCTCCCCGAACCTTACAGTGTAAATGTGGGCGGGAACAGCTCCCGTCAAGGCTGAGACGCAGAGTCGCTGGAGTACAGTACGACATAGGCACTTGTCGAATGCGTACTCTGATTTCGGAATGACCTAATATATACCCTTGGGTTTTACATCAGAAAGCATAATATTAGTTATTATCATATCAGTATTATTATTAATATTATACCCCATAAAGCATAATATATTCACGCGTCAGGGTACTTAATCTCTTTCCCGAAAGCGATAAACCCGTATTCAACAACACTTTAAGAGTAAAACCTTCTTTTGAAAGTAAAAAATCAGGGTTCGTTGATGAATGGGGTAGGGGACTGTATGTAGCCAATATGCTCCACCCCATGCGGACAGCTGGTATGAATCTGCATTGTCTGAAATATGCACAACTGCGTAGACTGTCACAGTGTTCGCATGAGACCACCTCCTTCCGTCGACATATAGTATTCCTCTCCAGAGGGAAATCCACAGGTAAAGAGATCCGACCACAGGGCGCAAGTTTTTCAGTTTTCTTGCTTCTGATCAAAGTTGTCGCCGACATGGCGACTTCTTCTGGTTGCGCAATTGTTTTCGTCGCTACAAGCGACCTCTTCTTCGTTTGCATAGTTTGTTTTCGGTCGCCTCCAAGGCGACCTACCCTTGTTGCGCAATTTGTTATCCACTCCCCTGCTACAAATGCAGGGGCGAACTGTGATAAGGATTCAGTTGTTGGTTGATAGTCACATCTTGCACCCTGCTCGGGTAAAAGGAGCATCTGTTGTTTATATATTGTTGATAAATCTTCCTTCCTGAATCAATCTGAACCACCGCTTGCACATTTTGGTGCGTCGGCCAGAAATTTTTTTTTCTCTTGGTCGTGATTTTGTATAGAATTAGAGTCTAGGCTACCACACCTAGCAAAAGCCCAGAACACCCTCATCTGGCATCGACTGTATATTAGTCGAGATTCTCCGCGAATCGAATAAGACCAGGCTACCATACCTGGCAATTGTCCCAGCACACAGCTGCAGACAACACTGACACATCAGTGAGCACAAGCTGGTAGGAGTTGCGAACTATAATAGCAAAGCACTCACGCTGAAATTAAGTAAGCAGAGGCAAAGCTATATTGGTGAAGCGCTCACGCTGAAATAAAGTAAGAGTTGCAAAGCTATATTAGCAGAGCACTCTCGCCGAAATTGAGTAAGCATATAGCTCTATCAAGCGAAAGGCAAACATGGCGTTCTTGTTCCACAAGAAACCGATAGCCTACAGTGCTCGAACACTTGGAACCCTGCTTGAGAAGTATAAGGGCTATGCCGAAGAGATCTCACCATGCGGAAATGAGACCAAACAGTACGATGAATTGAACAACGCTGTAGAATTAATCAGCGGAGGGATGAAGCTCATAAAACAGAGCAGAGATGCACTCCAAGTCTTAGTTGACAAATTGGAGAAAGAGTTCGATGACCTGAAAATGAAAGGCAGTCGCAAAGAACTCGTGAGTGAAATCGAGGACATTGAAAAAGAAACTCAATTCAGTGAAAAAATCGCTGCTGCCAATGACACGCTGTACGTGCTAGAAGCGCGACTGAATGAGACTCGCTCAAAAGTAAAGAGAATAGTGAGAAAACTGGACATGCCAGTAAACACCGAAACGGTGTCCACACCTAGCGAAATAGCAATGAAAGGTGTAAGCAGCGGAGAGGAAAGAGAATTTTCCCCCAATGCAACTGAATGGCTATCTGAAGACCTATTAGTAAATAGTGTCACAGAGTCAGAGGACCTGATATGTCGCACTCTGAAGCCAAAACAACTCAAGGTGCCGAGATTCTACGGCGATGAAGAGGAGTTCCCAGAATTTTGGGCAATCTTCAGTACCTTGGTGCATGAGAACAAAGTCCTGAGCACAACTGAGAAAATGATGTTCTTAAGGGACAGTCTCAAAGGAAAGGCAGAAATCGCTGTGAAAGGAATACAGCTAGTGCCGAAAAATTACCAGTGGATGGTTGAAACGCTGAAGAAAAAATATGGTAACAGGCCTATAAACAGAGCAAAAGTCGTGCAAAAACTAGCCGACATGCGAACAGCCGCAAACACTGCTGAAAGTTGCTCAGATACGTACGACAAGATACGTATGTTGATCAACCAAATGGTTTCTGCCGGGCAAGACATCCGCAAAATGCAGGACGCCCTCTGGACAGAGAAAATTTTGGAAAAATTTCCATACAGCATCGTGAAAAACGTGCTTATGTCCACACAAGAGCTGCAAGAGATCACAATTGATGATATAATGGAGGCTCTAGAGAAGCAGATTGAAGCCAAAAAATATGTGGATTCGCGCTTGAAAAATTTCACAAAAGGCGAACAACCACGGAAACGTTCAGATAATACGTATAATGAACGTATGCCACGATTTAGCAAATCGTGTGTATTCTGCAAGCTGACCAATCATACATCAACGAATTGCAGAACTGTAACTGACACTTTCGCTAGGCGAAATGCTGTCAAAGAGGAGAATCTATGCTGGAAATATTTCTCCGGTGAGCACAGTGCTGGTGGTTGTACAAAACCCAACTGTTCTCGATGTGGACGATTGCACGATATTTCCTTATGCCCGTCCCCCAACGCTCCCTACATGAATGAGCAAAATTCTACTCAGACAGCGAACAACCGCTACACAAGCCATCAACGGCCAGCCTATCGCACTGAGAGACAAGACGCAAGAGGCAATAGCAATAGACCTCAATGGCGTAACAACCATGTTCGCGAAGCCCCAGATAGGGTAAATCAGAGACAAGTCGTCAACAATACGTGTGTAGACGAAATATGATCTGCTAGACCCACAAGCGGTCAGAAACAGGGAGCAAATAGTACTCATGACTGCGGAAGGCAATCTGTGGAATCACAGAACCAGTCAGTTTGAGAAGGTACTATTCTTCTTCGATACTGGTGCACAAAAGACATTGATAAAAGAAAGCACCGCAGAAGATTTTGGCCTGCCCACACAGCACACGGAACTCTGTACAATGTCGGGAATAGGTGGCCATACGGAACAGTTCCAAAGCAAGGTTGTCTCACTTAAGGTGTGCACCGCTTTTGGCAAAGAGATCCTACTTACCGTGCAGACAAAACCGGTAATAACCAATGGATTCTCGTCTGTTCGACTGTCCGATGACGACAAAAATTTCTTGCAAGCCAAAGAAATGTTTATATGCAACACACGAATGCGCGGTGAACTACAAAACCCGCAGATTCTCGTCGGAATAGATTATTATTATGAGATGGTGCCCCCGAATACGGTTGCAGAACAAATGCCGTCGGGACTGCATGTAACGAAAACAGTGTTCGGTCCAAGTATACACGGAAAAGGAACGATCCCACCGTCACTCACAATCGCCAACACTGCGATCCACCAACTGACTCTCATAAATGAAGCGAAAGAGTCAGAAATCCTTCAGAAAATGTATGAACTAGAAGGGCTTGGGATCTCCTCGGAAGAGATACAAAAAGATGAGAGCATATTCACATACTTCCAAACCTACTCAAAGAAACTATCGTTTCAAAATGGTGTTGTGACTGCTCCTCTGCCACTCAAAGACAGCATAGTCGATCTTAGCGATAACTATGCAGTGGCGTACAGAAGACTGATGGCACTTTGGCAGCTTCTGCAAAACAATGAAAACCAACGGAGTTGGTACAAAATCGTTCTCGACAAATACATACAAGAGAAAGTGATAGAGGTAGCCCAAGATAACATACCTGACAGAGCCGGCACCTATTATATGCCTCATTCAGGAGTTTGGCGTCCAAGCAAAACTGTACCTTTACGTATAGTATTTGACGCATCCTCCAAGCGAAAAGCACATTTTTCGCTCAACGACGTGGTTTATACCGGCGAGTCTTTCGTGAATAAAATTCACGATGTACTGACGTCTAGTCGATTGAACCAAATCATCTTGCTATGCGACATTGAAGCCGCATTCACGCAAATTCGACTACACCACGCTCACAAAGACTTGTGTAGATTCTTGTGGTTGAAAAACGCAGATAAAGCGCCCACAAAAGATAATATTGTCGAATACCGGTTCACGAGGCTCCCCTTTGGGCTGACAGCTTCTCCAAGTATCTTGAACATGGTGATTCTCGCCTTTCTAGACTGGAAAAATACACCACTAGCCAGAGAAATCGCATCTCATCTCTACGTGGATAATATCCTTTTGAAGGCTGATTCCGTTCAAGAAGCGCTGACAAAATACCGTGAATCAAAAGCGCTATTTGCCGAGATAGGCATGAACTTACGCGAGTATATTTCAAACTCGCCGCTCGTCAACCAAGCCATCCCAGAAAAAGACCGTCTACACGGCAAGGTGATAAAGTTTCTGGGAGTAAATTACGACACTGAGGAGGACTTCTACACTCTAAACGTAGACATTCCGTCCAAAGAAAGGCTTACGAAGCGTGATATTGTCAGCCAAATAAACTCAGTATATGATCCGATTGGCGTTGCGGGACCACTCTTAGTGAAACTAAAGTCCCTCATGCGAGAAATCTATAGCACGGGAGTAGATTGGAAAGAAGCCATTCCCAGCGAGCTAGCTTCAAAATGGTATGAAGAATGGCAGCAGATAAATGGCTGCAACCTGATTCTGCGGCGTAATCTGCCCGCCCCTACTAGGGGTCGATACACCTTATGGGTATTCTCAGACGCTAGCAAAATTGCTATCGCGTCCTGCGCATACTTGCAGTGCATTGAGACAAAAAAGGTTTCCCAACTTATAAGCGGTAAAACCCGTCTCACACCGAAGAAAATGGTGCAAACAATACCGCGACTGGAGCTACTTAGCATACTCATAGCTACCAGATTAGCAAAGAGCATTGTGAATGCCATTGGTGACGCTATCGAGGATATAAAAATAGCTAACGACAGCGAAATCGCTCTCGCCTGGATTCCAAGCATGAGGAAACTGCCACCCTTTGTCGCAAGTCAAAGAGACCGCATCCTAAGGTTGAAGCATCATTTCGAATGCGAAAATAAACAGGTGCACTTCTACCATGTCTCTACAAACGATAACCCAGCAGATGCTGGAACTCGTGGGTTGACGTCGTCTGCAATGAGCAACCACGCTTGGATAAAAGGCCCACAGTGGCTAGCGCAGAACCCTCAAAATTGGTCATTACGCGTGATTACTGAGGCTAATGCCGAGTACGACCCAAGTGATGACGAAGAGGTTCGGGCGCATCCTACAGTAGCACAACCTACCAACAAAGATGAAGCGCAGCCATTCATTGACCTGAAACGCTTCTCTAAATACAACAAGTTACTGAGGACAGTGGCCATAGTTGGCAAAATATCCAAAAGATGGCTACTGAAGTGCAATTTCAACACTGACAAGTTCGATATTCTCAAGAACTTCGACTCAGAACAGCACATAACAGCGGAAGATATAAAACTGAGCGAGAGACTGCTCATTGCTTCAGTACATCATTCTATATCTATAGAAGAATTGCAAAAGCGCTTCCGCAATGTGAAGGTGATCAAAGACGAGTTTGGTATAATACGCCACGAGTCCCGCTTACAGAATGCGATATTACCTTACAACACCAAATCGCCAATATTCCTTCCCAATCCGTCAGAACTGACTCGATTGATTTTGGTAAACATACACCAAAAGAACGCGCATTGTGGAAACGATCACATTTTAGCGCCAGCACAACAGCGATACTGGATAGCTCAACCTATGAAAGCAGTAAAAAAGTATCTCAGAAGCTGTAGCACGTGCAAAAGATGTCATGGGCTGCCTTTCGGCGCTCCAGGAATGCCATCACTACCCAAAGATAGAGTCCGAATTACCAAACCGTTCCAAAAAATTGGCTGCGACTTCTTTGGACCTATCGATTCGCACAATAACGAAAAAATGTACGTTTGCTTATACACTTGTCTAACGACAAGAGCAGTACATTTGGAAGCTGTAGAGAGCCTATCAACAGGTGCTTTCTTAAACAGCTTCGTGCGGTTTGTCTCTCGACGAGGCGTACCACAACTTGTGAGAACAGACTGTGGTACTAATTTCAAGCTCGGTCAAAAAGTCATCGAAAAATTATTCGAGAAAGACGATCAAAGCGAGAATTCTGTGATGAATTATAGTGCCACAGAAGGAATAACCTGGATATTCAATCCACCAGGAGCACCATGGATGGGTGGTGTCTGGGAACGGTTAGTCGGCTCAGTCAAACGCAGTTTTATAAAAGCTGTTGGCCGCCGTAAACTCTCATTCACAGAGTTGAGCACCGTTATGGCAAGAATTGAAGCCATTATAAACACTCGCCCATTGACAAAACTTAGCTCGAGTGATATCACTGAGATACCCTTACGACCTATAGATTTTCTACAGGGTAATGTAAAGTATGCGCTCCCGCAATCCACCGTCATAGCAAGTGATCCCGATTATGATCCTGAGCTTATCCAAACCGCTTTGCAAGCGCACGAAGCTTTGGGATACTCAGAAACTACTGCAGCTAAATTCTGGGACCGTTGGAACGTAGAGTGCCGAGATTAATCGAGAGTCGAACTTGGACAATACGGAACGTAGAGTATTTGACAGTTCTACGCGAAAGCTAAAAAAGGCACTTAAATCAACCACGGCACACGCCCAACCATCCACAAATCGGCGAAATTGTGCTCATCGAACAAGAATTGATTCCACGGGGCAACTGGGCCTACGGAAAAATAACAGAGCTGGTAAAAAGTGCTGATGGCTTGATAAGGTCGGCTAAAATCCTTACGCCAAATCACAATATTTTGCAAAGGCCACTCAATAAACTGTTCCCTCTGGAAATCAGAAGCGCTGATGAGGCAAACAGTCAGGATATCGCTGTAGAACCACTAACACAGCATGATGCGAATTCCACAAGTCACGAAACCATGCATCGCGATACGGCAGCTCAGTCGCGAGGTCATTCCAGCAGACGGAATCCACCTCGAGAATCTAAGACTCGCGCATACGAAGTAATTCAAAACTTTGAGAGAAGTTTACAAAGCACATCTTCTACTCACACCTCTCGGGTCATGACAATGATAAGTCTTGTCTGCTTACTCAGCTCCTATACTGGAGTAGAAGCTTTATCAGAGAACCTCATAGAGTGTGGAGAAGGACTGTTCACTGTGCGAGAGCTCAAAGAGCCCTTCAAGCTCTGTGTGAACAAAATATGCAAGGAATTTGATAATTCCACGGAAGGCATGTCAATCAATATCCCTCCAGCAAGAGACAAAAACCATTATCGGGTCAACCTGACAACCCAGAATCTTTCCGTCACTCAGCTATGTGAATCGCATACATATTGTGACCATTCTCGAACCATCATGACAAGGTCTTTGTTGGGCAACCCTCACTGCTGGCCAATGGGAGTGATAATCACCATAGCGTTATTGGTCTATGTAACCATAGCAATGTTACTGTTCGCCATATGGTCACTGAGATACTGTCTCAAACGGGCGCATACACTGCCAACCAGCCCTGAAAGGAACATTGTCCTCGACAATTTCAACCCGAAACCACTGAGCATCCCGAACACAATCGTGATCGCCCTAACTTTGCTATCAACAATCAGCACAACGGCATCGTGTCAACATGGATTCATGAGACACACGGTTGAAGCAATTTGTCAAGATCAAGGCAACTGTTCCTATGAGTACAATGAAGAGATACTCTTTAATCGCCTACAAAAGAGACTTTGCATTAGCGTGCGGCATGCAAATGAAACTGTAGGCACGATCAAGATCACGAAAAAAGAAATGCACATGAAATGTTCCAAGCTTTCTCATTTTTTCACGCGAGACACTTCGCACAGCATATTCCACACTACTAGATGTGACGAAGCAGGATCATGTTTCGACAACAAGTGCAACACCATTATGCACAACGAAACAATTCCCGAGTTAGCTATTGCTTCGATATATCCAGGATACTCTGCCTGCGAGCACACTTGTGGAAGAATACTATGCGGCTGCCTTCTAGTCACACCAGCATGTTCCTTCATTCGTGTAGCACACATTCCTAACAACCACAAAATTTACGATGTGATTAGTTGCGTGGAGTGGACTCCGGAAATCAGCTTTGAGCTCGACATGATAATCGGAGGCACAGCAGTGAGAGAGACCGTGCATTTAGAGCCATATCTACCGCTTTCGCTCGAAAAAATAACTCTCACCATAGTTTCCCTCAACAAACCACACTCAATGTTGATGGATAGACGATTCGCATTAGCTCAGAATGAAGCTCTTATGATACCCAACGGCTACGAGCTACCGGTAGAATGCGAAACACGTCAGCAGGCAGTCGACAGTTTCGAAAAATGCGCAAATCGCATGATCTGCGCTTGTGCGACATTCAAAGCTCCACAAAATTGTCGTTGCTCAACTAAATCGATAAGCGATGTGCGGCAGGATACAGCCAATACGTTGCCAATCAATACGGCTAATTTAAACATCTCGAAGATTGACGATGATATATTTGTGAACACCTACGACGGCGAACTTACACTTACAATCCAATCTAAACTTATGATCGATGTCACTCAATACACGATGGCTTCACCTTGTTTAATCACCGTTGAACCCATCACTGGCTGTTACGAATGTCAAACTGGCGCTGAACTAATAAGCCACTGCAAGACATTCTCACCATCAGCCATAACAGTCCGTTGCAGCGATCACTCATTTACAATCGACTGCGACCACTCAAACAAAACCAGCAGGACTATACTGCATTTCAATGGAGCGTTAATAGCACAAAAATGCTACGCAACATGCGCGCTCAAAACAATTGATGTAGATCTACAAGGCACACTACATTACCACGCCAGACATCTACACAGTTCTGTGTTCGAAGTAAAACCAGACACAAGAAGCTGGATGAACACATGGAGTGAAGTACATTTCCCGGACACTAAACCACTCCTCATCATCTTGAAAAAGGAATGGAAACTGGCAGTTGCGGCAATTGGAGCTGTATCTATAGCAGCAGCCATAACTTACTTCTGTGGACCTACCGCGCTGCTACTCCTAGTCAAAACCCTCTGGATCATTCTCGCAGCAGCTTGCAAATTCATATGGGCACTAGCGACATGCATATGGAAGATGTTCTCTGCCACAATAGCATTACTCACTCGAATACGGAAAGGATCACAAGCCACCTCACCACTTCCCCGATGAAGTTCTGTTGCTGTGAATTCATTCATCGTAAGATTTATTATTGTATTTGATATGTTGTATCTCATATAGTTGAATTTCCTGTCGCCCCGGGGAGTGTCGCCGACATGGCGACTTCTTCTGGTTGCGCAATTGTTTTCGTCGCTACAAGCGACCTCTTCTTCGTTTGCATAGTTTGTTTTCGGTCGCCTCCAAGGCGACCTACCCTTGTTGCGCAATTTGTTATCCACTCCCCTGCAACAAATGCAGGGGCGAACTGTGATAAGGATTCAGTTGTTGGTTGATAGTCACATCTTGCACCCTGCTCGGGTAAAAGGAGCATCTGTTGTTTATATATTGTTGATAAATCTTCCTTCCTGAATCAATCTGAACCACCGCTTGCACAAAAGTTATGGCCTCGCACTCGCACGATGGCGCGTCCGAAGGGGCACACTCTCGCATGGCACCAAGACCCAAGACCCCCATCCTTGTCCGGTCACTGCCTTTGATTGCCTAGTTGTGGTAATTTACTACAGAGTTCGTGGAAGAACATGTTTGAACTCGCTTGGTGTAATTGGGGCATGCTGCAGCCCAAACGCAGGTGATTTTCCAGAATGAACTGTAGGAAGCGGCATAGTTCCAAATCCGCTTAGATCTGTACGATTACCCACCGATTGCTTGTGGGCCGTTAGCAATTACAAGCAAATCTAATTCAAAAGTTCGAACTCATTCTAAGTCTATGATAAAAGATAGGTTCAACAGCCACAGTAACGCTCGAAAGTAATCTAGTAGGCATGTAAACTTTGAAATTTTGTTATTTTGAAAAGAAGTAGCAATCGATTTGAAAAGATTTCCTTGCGAGAGTGATGGGCAAGCAGTTATCTCGTTGCTCCAGCTGCTCCCATCGCTCTCGGTACTTTACTCTGATGTTTGTCGCTTACTGATCGCTGGAGGAACCTTGCTATGCGAGGTCATCATCAGCTCAAGCTGAGGTATGGCACGTCACACTTAGGGAGTCGTACGTTGAGGTCAGAGGGGGAGCGGACCGTTATTCGAGTAAAGGCTCCGCACCTTTCTTAGGGCCGCATGCACTAACATCCCCGCGGGGAGGGGATCGCAGCTTAAAAGAAAGCTTTGTATTTCGAAACTCCAGATACCTGGATTTCACGTTGTGTACCTATCCGTAAGTATTCCTACTACCCTTCACTATGAACATGTTGAAGAGGAGCGAGAAGCTGTACAAACCGCATTTTCCAGCTTTTGTATGATCCCTGATGATCCTCGGCGCTTTTCTATAAAGTCATTTTTCTTTCTCCGAAGTTAACGAAAAACCTCCAAAGTTGTGCAGATTATCTAGCCCGACAGTGCTAAGCATGTTGCTGATAAGAACAAATGATGTTTTGAAGTCATGAAATTTTCGATGATCCACAGTATACTTGGGTAATTCGAAAATTTTTCATCGAATGAATGAATATCGAATAAACTCGAAAATAAAAAATCTCGAATAAACGAATATCGAATAAATTCGGAAAATCAAAAATATCGAATGAATGAATTTCGAATAAATTCGGAAAATCAAAAATATCGAATGAATGAATTTCGAATAAATTCGGAAAATCAAAAATATCGAATGAATGAATATCGAATATATTCGAACATTGGAAGTCGAATTTCGAATAAATATTCGAATGATTTATCGAATAACTAAAGCAATCACATCTCAAACTTGCCGACATATCTGGCTAAAGCCGATTCAATTATAATCAGCCCCCTAGTATCTCCTATACCAATTCCTAGCTCAAGTTTTTTCAAAAATCGGTGAAATCGATGGTAAATTTTATTTTTAATCAGCGCCTTCATTTACCCCTCTACCAACTCCCAGCCCCGCAGCTCAAACTTCTCCATAAATCGATAAAATCGATAAAGCAAATTTTTGTCCATAATCCGTGAAGGTGCACCAGCCAGCTTTGAGCGCACTTCGTGATCCTTGCGCGTTATCCACCGCACGGGTAAGAGCCGCATTTATACACCTTGATCCTGCGGCTTTGTTCGACAGCAGACCTTATTTGTCAGGCTTCCACTGGATTTCAAAGACGTTTAGCAGAGTAAAGATAAAATTGGCTGGAGCTAAAATCTAAAAATGAGAAACATTGCAACTTAGTGTAAGCACCTAACGAGCTGTTCGGATTCATAGCGCTAGGTGTGCGATCTTTTGAAGCAATAAGGTGGCCACATATGTACTTAAATTCCACAAATGCTACGATACATTGCCTGTTCATCGGAGACTTTCGTCTTGTGTGGTATACGCTAGTCGTAGACGAAAACATGTGGTTTCCTGCGCGAAGCGAGCACGAATGTCCCTATAGCTCCGGGCATACTGCAGGCATTTCAGTGGCGACGTGGTATGGCAATACTCAAATTGTCCAAAACCTATTCTGAAAGTACAGAATGTAGGGCATCTATCATTTTAGTATATTGTACACGCTAAACATTTGTGGTAAACTGCCATTACATCTGAAGACATCTCGTAACTGGCAAATCGCGTACGGCGATCAAAACCGTCTAATCCTGCTCTACAACTGCGATGTCCTTTACGCAATATACACCAATTCGCAAAAAACTCTAAGGTAACGAATAGGCAGTTTTGAAATGATTTATGCGAGCAAGAGTGCTCACTAGTGTGGGCTTTGCGTACCGCAAGCATGAGCAATGAGAACAGCCATTTCAATTCAGTATGAACTCAGAACATGAGCTTGAATTTGATATCTTCTCTGCTGATTTGGTGCCGGTAGCAGTGCGAACAATCTCACCGGTCGAAAAAACATCAATTAAACTTATGATTTTTTTACTGTCGCAAGCAGTTGGAAGAATGCGACTCTCCATACAGTTCAAAGGTATACCGGTTGCAAAAGATGCATTACCGAGTTTTGCGAAAAAAAAAACGCGGACGAAGTGAGCTTGATACTCAGCATTTGTCTCTGCAACAAAGTCGAATAATCTGAATACGGAGTACATTCGAATACGAATTCGAATAAACATTCGAATAAAACATTCGAATAAAATCTATTCGAAACCCCGTTTTTTTATTATTCGAGTTTTCGAATAATATTCGAAACCTCGTTTTTTGATTATTCGAGTTTTCGAATAATATTCGAAACCCTGTTTTTTGATTATTCGAGTTTCGAATTTTATTCGAAACCCCGTTTTCTCAATTATTCGAGTTTCGAATATTATTCGAAAATGGAAGAACTCCGAATATCGAATTTCGAATACGAATATATTCGAATGTTCTATTCGAATGATCGAATTTCTATTCGATTCGGACCCAAGTATAATCCATAATCCACAGGTCGAAATTTGAGGTTTACCAAGAAATGTTGGCTTTTCAAAAACTCATTTGTTCTTATCAGCAACATACTTAGCACTGTTGTGTTGGTTAATCATACAACTTTGGAAGGTTTTCTTTAATTTTGGAAAAAAACTGACTTTGTAGAGAAGCGCCGCGGATCATCAGGGATCGCAAAAGCTGGAAAATGCGGCTTGCACAGCTTCTCGGTCCTGTTCAGTGTGTTCATAGCGATGGATAGTAGGCACACTTACGGATAGGTACACAACATGAAATCCAAGTATCTGGAGTTTCGAAATATAAAGCTTTCTTTTAAGCTGCATCCCCTCCTCAGCGGGGAGGTTAGTGCATGCGGCCCTCAAAGTTCAACTACCTTACAACATTTTTTCACACAGAAATTTTTGATGAAACATACAAGGTCTCCCAAAAAATGTGAACACTGTTTGACCATCAGTAACTCCCTTGCTTTCATGTCTTTCGCCGTGCTTGAGGCAACTTTTTGTAGAGCGAGGTAACTTAGATTCACAGTATGGAGAAAATCATCGATCGCTCTTCCTTACTATAGGATTACGATAAGAACTTTCAGCATGTGGAACCAATGTAAAATATATATAGCATCCGACAAAAATTGTTTCAAAAATTCTGAAAAGTCGTGTACTAGGGTTTTCGCACACGAGGATTCCAGTACACTACTTTTTACGATTGTTTTCAGCTTTTTCGACTTTGTAATCACATTTCTGTCAAATGTGGGGATTCAGCTATTACGTTTACCTGGGATAACTTTGGAAAGAAGCACCATAATAAAGTCGAGATTTCATATTCGAATCAGCGGCTGCCATTACCATACAATGTGAAAGTTTTTGGTTTGTTTGATTTGTTCCGAGGCAGAGTATGGCCTCCAATGACCTAAAATCTGTCGAAGTTCCTAAAGTAATTCTACAGTAACGAAGAGTGATCGAGGTTTCGCTCTATACTGTAGATCCTAAGTTGAGCCTCATTCTACAGAGTGGCATCTTAGGCTCGGCGAAAAACATGACAAAGGAGTTATTAAAGGGGGTCAACTTATCTATCGCGTTAAGTGTTCACATTTTTTGGGACACCCTGTATAACGCTGAAGATTATGGATAATCGAAGAACTTTACCGTCGTACGACCACATCGGACCGTCTCCCAAGTGATTATATATGAAGCGGATGAAAAGGCAGAATGCTAGCATTGATGGCCATATCCGAAGAATGCGATGGAAGTAAAACATGAGCAAACGATAGATAAGTTGATAAAGCGGAAATTTTGCGTCTCTATAACATTCAAATTTAAATCTTTCTGAAGTGCTCATTTTTACCTGAATAATAGACGTTTCCGCATGGAGAATGCTACCACTGTTCCGGATATAAAAAGGAACGAATCGACTGCCAGCGAGGAATTGAGAAGTATTGGAGCGAGCCACCGCGAACGCTTGAGTAACGGAAGAAATGTGGGAAGGTTATCCATGTAGGGTAGAGTGAAGAGCGATGAATGGCCCAGTATCACCTTAAAAATATCTCTGCTTTGATTGAAGATGAATAAGTAAGAACATTGAAATGAAGTGCTCTTTTAAATTTGTGTAACATTTTTGAAGACCTGTAGAGTCGTGTAAATGATGGTACAATGAGTCAGCTCGCCAAGAGCACGTAGTAGTCATCCCTCAAGTGGCGGCGACGTTCGAAACAAGCAGATGCCGGTTCATGTCGCCTCGCTCGCGGCTCATCCGGAGGTTATCTCTTGTCACGGCAGCCGGGTAAGACGTTGGCAGTCATGGCAAACAGGACGTGCTCACCCTCGTTCACATAAGACGAACCCAGCACAGGGCTAGGCATAGCTGGCACCGGGTCAAGCTGGTTATCGTTTTTGGGGCGGAAAGCAAAGGGGATATCGTTTTTCCGGGGTCTGGGGCGGAGGAAGCTGCAAGAATGCCGCCGACGCGCCACCGGCGTGCCGTACATTAAACAAACAAAGGCGTTGTTTTCAACCAAAACGCAATAGTAAGTCACCAAATTTGGTGTGCACATGCGCTTGGGCGACTCGAATCCGGACTAATTTCATAATGTTTTCTTTTCGGCGATTTATAGGCATCTGAAAAATTCTTGGTCCGACTGCTCCGCAGTCGAAAAAGCTGCTTTTTCACTACTTCTCATAAGTGATTCAACCACTCAAAAAGCTTAGAAAACTTATGAAAAGTCATTCTATGAAATGCGGACACGTGAGAACTCTAGTACATATCTGTACAGAATCTAAAAAAGTAATGACGGTCTTCAAAACAGGTCAAAGGGGACTTCGTACGATGTTCAAGATCAAAGGAGACTTCGTTTTGAAATTTCCATGGTGCCGGCTCGTGCCATAGATTCGATGGTTTTTCATTCAGGTTGAATTTAGGTCCATTCTTGATTTCACCACTTGTTTCGCTTCAGTTAGTTCTCCGTCAATGACTCCAGTGCGCTAGTCTGTCTACCATTACTCATGAAGTTGCCGTAAGTTCGTGTTTGCATATTTCCGCTGCGACTGCAGCGGCGCGCGCCGCAGGCTGCGGCAGGCTGCTGCGTCCTGCGGCGTAGTAAGGAGGCCAACGTGATTCAAGACAATATCCGTGACTCCAAGCCATCAAACATCTCTCCTAGACCTGAATATGTTGAATTATTTTTCGACTTTCGCTCAGCTTTCCTAGTATGATCGTCAGGACAGAAGATAAGCATACAAAGAAACCACTGCTTGTTATAGTATTTCGCACCGGAAATGATGGACGTGGGGGAAATAAACTATACCATAACCGAAAATCGAGTTTGATCTTCTTACCACATAATAGGAGAACGGAAGGAAATCGGTAAACCCGCGTCAATGGCCGCAAACTTACCGAATTTCGGAATTACGCAGAGTCCTATAGTCACAAGAGTACGGAGTCAATAAGGGTGAAGATAAGATGTTTTGGATGCAGACGTCGAAGATGCTTGATATTCGCAATTAAATCTTGTGGGATTTGTTCCCCCAACCTCCACCAAATCAGAAATCATCATTTTCGATCATACAATGATATCTTGGCAATCTACAAGTGGTTTGTCTGCTTTATGCTGCTAAATCGTTGCATCTTTTATTCTTCATGTGTCAGCTCTTTTTTCTTCTTTTTTCTCTTTCAATGTGTATCTTTTGTGAGGAAGCCCAAACTTTGCGGACGAGGTCAAGAAAATATGGTCAAAGTCGTAGTCAAATTTAGAAACTGAATATCGTCAACAAAAAGCTTTTTGCGTAAAATATAAACATGCCAAATTTACAATTAACTGAAGGCAATCAACCTCGTATACTATCTCTCGTACTTGCAGTAGTATCTGTAGATCTCTGAGATGAGCTAGCATCAATAAGCACCATCGCGGAGGGTTTTTTGTTGCAATATCAACCTTTATTCACAAAAAAATCTGTTCGTTTTTTTTTTGGAAAGTGTGTGGCAGCTAATACATCGTTTATCATGAAATAATAAAGTCATCTGTCCTGCTGTAAAAACATTTTTCTCAAATTTTTCTAAAAACCTTAATGTTCATATAGGTGATATGTTTCTAATACATCGTACCATCGCTTATAGCCGTTGCTACTACATAAAACTCTAAAAACACTTCAGAAAGCGGTCAGGTTCCTATGTGACTCATTGCCGTTCTTTTTCCATGCTTGATTAGAGCGAATTCACTAATATTGGGTTTCAGAACCCACAAATTTTGGATAAGCTATTTTGCGAATACCGGTATAGCGGCATTTTCTGGATTAGAAAATAGGGTACCCAGCGGCAGGCTTAAACTATGGTTTCACTTACACATTAGCTTCGTGAGTTCGAGTATCTGAGTTGAGCCTACCCACAGAATTTCGTTGATGAATACGGCCACACATCTCCGATCATTTGTCAGATGTAAAAACTATCAGAAATTAGCAGAATGAAAGCTCTACATATATTGAACACCATTGCAGATGTTATCGCGAGCTGTTGCAGGAAGGTCAAATCAAATTCTGTCAGCTTACCCACAACATGCTGATAACCTTAATCCCATTTAAACAAGCGATCTCCTTTGCAGTGTTACGATTAAGCTGTCTCAAAGAAACTCGGACGCTGAAGGAACATAGCTGCAATTCAAAACTTGTAAGAGTTGCAACGGGTCTCATCTGTCTTACAATATCTAAAATGATGGCAGGTTTTGCAAGTGTTCGCGACAAGTCGGGCACATTTTTATATGTGAGTGCAACTGATGGTGCATTAAACCAGTTGAATTTTCTTGGAGCATTCATAGCTGAAAAGGGGCGACATCGCATTCTTCCGTTCAGTAGCATGTGTTGAAGTGCGAGAATGTTACCTGCAGTCATATCGCTTCCGGAAAATGTGCGATCGTCAGCATGGCCTTTGCCGGGACGTTTGTTAATTACAAAAACATCCAACGATGTTCCGGTAATTAAGATGAGAGTTATCGCTATCGAAGAAATTAACAAAAGTTTCTAAAAAGTTTTGTACAGAAACAACAATCTTACGATGATAGAAACCTCAACAAGCCTATTATCGTTCTTCCCCTGGCATGCAGTTCTATCAACTGATATCCAGTTCTCTGATATGCCAGGAAATCCCAGAAATTCTTCGCTGAAGTGACTGGCTAGAGACGCTACAGCATTCACGCGGCATGATGACGGTAAACAAAAACCTAAAGCCCGAAGTTTACCAAGGAAAACATGAAGTACCATATCCCCTCAGAAAAAGGTCGCATATGTTAGCCCTAGGGCTTTGATATAAAAGCCCACACGGAAACAAATTTTGACGACAATTTCCAAGTTTCCTCTTTCCTCAACCTCGGCATGGTTAGTAATGTGGTTAGTATGTTAGTAAGCCGTTACGAGGTTAGTACGATTTACTAGTGGCGGCCTGACGTTTCGACTTTGTCGTCTTCTTCAGAGGCCTAAAGTGTGAGAGACGAAGATTTAATGCCTACTCCACCAGAAACCTCCTCCACACCGGCTAGCCTCGATATCACCCCAGAACGCCAAAAATAAAAATCGATAGCGTGAAAGACGAACTCACCTCTTCTACCGTCGGCACGCAGATCTTGGTGCGGCCGTCCTTCAATGCCACTCAGTACTAATAAGGAATGTCTTGCATTCCATTAGTGGGTGTTATGATTGGTGGCTTTCTTTAACTCGCATAATGGTAGAAAAGACATAAAGTCATTTGTGATTGACAAACATTCATTCCGGCTGTTCATGCGTGGGTTTCTAGCAGAAATCCAAAATGCCTCGAGAGCTTTTCTAGCAGAAATATCACCTTCGCGTGCTAGTATCGAACATCTGATTCTAAAGTCTCTACCCTCATGACATTCAAATCTATGTTTACCGAGAGGAGTAATAAGACTTCCCCGCTTCATACTGGCTAGATGTTCTTTCATTCTTATTCCGAGCGGTCTCCCAGTCTCATGTAAGTGGCACTGCAGTCTGTACATTCGATTTCACGTATATCACGCCGATTTTATTGCAATCACCAACTTTTCCAAACGGACAAACTACGCAGTTTGGAATAATGCAGTAGTTGTCGTGAAACCTGTTACGTACTAGCCGCTTCTTGATGCTATCACCTGGGATATTGACTAAAATGATATCGTCCTCCAAGTTTGCGCGTTTAATGCAACGTTGCAGCATAGCACTAGTTGAGTCGGAGACGAAAGGGAGGCAAAGAGGTATTTTATATTAGTGCTGGTTGCTGTTGTTGGAGGTGAATGGTCTACCTCGCCCTTTTGGGTACGCGTAGCCATTCGTTCGAGCAATGTCCAGCGCCCTTCTTTGCGATTCCCTCCGCTCCTCTTCTCCTGTGCACATTTTCGTAGCTGTCGTGAGCATGTTATGAACAACGGCTCTTTTGACAGAGACCGGATGCGCAGAACGAGCATTGACTAGAATGTTCTTGGAACTTTCTTACGATACCATTTTAAACTTGCCAAACAATGACAACAATGACAACAATGTTTTTGGCATCAATATCTTGGGTAGTGAGTGTGTATGTGGACTCAAGGTAGAAATATCAGGCAAGATAACAATGACTGGGGGGGGGGGGGGAGGGGGGGAGAGTCTCAACTCTGAAGCAGCAAAATCCAACTACAGGACAAGTAGCTCCTTCTGCCTCAGAACAGGAGCTGCTACTTGTTCTAGAAGTTGTTGACTATAATCAATGTAGAATGTGAACTCGAACCTCAAAAATCAAAGTTCATTATAGTCGATGCTTGTAAAATCAAAGATGAACGTTACAGGGAGCCGCGGGCTCACACAATGAAGCGAAGAGGAAGTAGTCTTTGCAAGGATCGAAAACATATTGTGCAGAAATCTGACGACTATCCTGTTAAACACAAAAGATTCTATTCTATTCCATATAAACGGTGCCACGAAGTTCTACTTTTATAAGTTTACAGCTTTTCTAAGCAGCTACACATATACGTTGTATTCTCGTTGAAACCCACCGGTGGTTACCGTTATTGCTCCGGCTTCTGATTTCGCTGTCATCGTGGTTCTGCAATAGTGGACACGCTCGGAAGTGATGTTCTCCATCTCTTCTATAACTTCATCCCATTGTTTCGCGCAGGTATCGTAATCTCCTAGGAGGAACATCGGTCCTTTGCTTGTAAGGCCTGGTGGTAGTCGCGGCCAAGCGTCAAGCACTCGAAGTTTCCAGTATGGCAAGTCACCTAAAAACGGGCTAAACAATTGTGGGAAGACTTGTAAGAATAGTAGTACTTCCGCAGTTTTGTGACACAAGTGCACAGAATGGTGCCTGCGCAAGCACTGAGCTGGCACCAGCCAGAAGAGTCGTGAGATCTGTGATGCACTGCTGTCCATCCGCTTCTACAAATACTGATGTGAGCTGGATTGAAGTGTGCTTTTCAAGCTTACGTTGAAGGTTTTCCACAAACTTTATAAGTTTCTTGACGAGTTTATTGTAATGCCTCCACCTACCAGCCCTTCTATCGGCTAAGCGAAGGGTAACGTTCCTAGCTCCTTCACCTTTATACGCTTGAGTAGCTGCAATATTGCTCGTTTTGCACCGACAGAATAAGCTGTTCAAAATCCCTCACAAGTAGAATTTCTGTCTGAGTTCGCATTAAACTGAGGATAATTACAGTTAATAGGGGCAGTAATGAGGGAAAGAACAATTATATGCAACCGCATAATGAATGTAAGAATAAGAAATGGGATTTCCACAGATGCGATGAGTTGCATGAAGTGATAAGAGAGCTAAAGATATGGCTTGCATTACTGTTTCTTTCTTCAACTGCTTCACGGGGGGCAGCCAACATGAACGATAGGTTGTGCCAGCCACATGCGCTGCGTAGGTCAAATCTTTTTCAAATTCCATATTTACGCTATGATGATATCCAGAAACCTGGAAAAAACACTGGAAACTCTATATGTCTCAATTCTTACTGTTCGACACCATTATCAATCCAGTTTAAAACATATAGCTTCAAAAAATAAGACTTTATGTGCGACATATTGACAACCGCTGGAGTAAGTATGCTTATTGCCAGCTATCGTTCATCTTGGCATACACCCCTGCTTCACTACTTACTTCGAAAGTCCACAATAAAAACTGCGTTTGTCCGATAAGTCAACTCGTAGTGGCGCATTGTCAATACCTTGACAAAATCAGAAAATTATAATGTGAATTTGAGCATTATTCGTAATCACTGTGCTTGTAATGCTAATGGAAACATTTGTTTCGTTTGGCACCTGAAGTTCCGAGAATGAAGCTGTGATAGCGAAACAACCTCGCAATTGATAGAAGTAAGATCAGCTTGTCAAGGATAATTTGGTGATGGCTCATGCGCTCTCTCCCTCGCCTTAAAACTCAGAAAGCAGGTTTGTTCCCACCCAACCCCCTCCCTTGCTTCCAAACATCCTCTCCCATCCTTCAACCCCCCTCCTCTTCTCCAACAAAACTCCTGCGATTTGCACTATGGCCCTGATATCGGATTTCTCTCTGTTTTCTTTTTTTGCTTGAATGGCTGTGAAGTGGCATGTGTACCTAAGCTGAGATCCGATGAGACGCAAAGCGCAGCGTGATGATTATTTGTATGAATAGTTTGTTTGCTGATTGGGCCAGTAGAGAGCGAACACTCAGGCGCATCGAGCACTTCGCTCGTTCGCGCTCTGCTACATGCTTTTCCTGGCTCTTGCCATCCTCACAACATGGCAGTGTTCGGCAGCAAGTCCAGCCGAAGCCGAACTTTACAGGTATGTACCCTATCATTTTCTTTTCAAAAAACTCCTAACCAGGGTTTTGGCCATCTTTAGGCCCTCTTATCGTGCTAAACACGAATACAATTGAAAGCGAGCCAAAAATTCGAAAATGATTATTGCCGATAGGCGCCGTATCGCGGACTTCCGAATTCTTTTGCATACCGTGCCTGATGGAGGTATTCGCTGCACCAACCCATACATGGTCCGAAAGTGTACATTTCTTAGATTAGGCACAAGATCACGCGAGTTATGGATGCCTTCGAAATGCCTATAATTTCTAGGAAATGTGCTACCATTCCTGCACGTGCTAGCACTCCTGAACTACCAGTGAAAGTGGGAGATTCCATAGGACGGATCTTTTTCTTTCCGAACCCGGATAGAAAAAGATTCGATCTTTCTCAACTTGGATGATTTGCTCTCGCTTGCGAAGACGCATAGTAGGAGCCTCAACATATAATGCATGGGCAGTGCCTCGTAGAAAACAAAGCCTAAAATGTGTGTCAAAAACTATCGTTTCTAGATAAATGGCACAGGCGATAATTGCAGAAAAAGTGCTGTTGTCTTTTCTCCAAAACTCAGACTTTTTAAATGGACAAAAATTGTAAATGCACAGCAAAATGAGGGCTAGCTTTTAAGATATGTATGAAAAGAAAGCGATACAAAAGAATCTTATTGCTTGGTGCTTTTGATGGCTCGAGACATCAAACAATAAGGTATCAGAAAGTCCACCGTTGTTTGCATGCGTTACTTTATGCGATAGTTCCCGGAAAATCCAGATTTGAGCCCAGTCACAGTCATCCTACATGCAACGTGAAGTTGAAAATTTTGTATTGTGCTTTAGGAATTTATGTGCTTATACAATTCATACTTCTGTGGAAACAAAGTTCAAGTTTTGGATTCTCAGTTTTTCAGTCCCAGTTTCAATTCTGAGCTTTCGCAAAACTCGCTTTTTCTCTCTCAGAGACTAAGATAATAGCATAAGGAATTTTAAACTTTTGCGTTACTTCTACACAAATCACCTAGAGTTCATCAAATTGCATTTTATGGATGTTCGCAGCTCTATGGCATGAAGTTTGAAATCGGTTTATGAGTAGCTGGGGTACTGCTGCAAAGCTGAGCAGGAATTTTTGCCCCTGTAAATGAGGTGGAACAAAACAGGATATTTTCGGTTTCGACAGCAAGTTGATAAAAATTTCTAGCTTGCAAGTTCTTCGAATTTTTACCTTAGTTGCAGATATCTCCTGAAAAACTACAGTGCCTTGGTCAGACCCGTTCGGAATCCAAAATCGGTGTTAACCGTGACTATGAAAGTCTTTCTGCAACAAATTCTCAACGTCGATGAACAAAATCAGGTGATCGAAGTGAACGCCTGGCTCAAATATGTAAGTGCATGGATTTTCGCTGAAACTCTTGGAAATAGTAATTTAGAGTGAACACAAAGCAGCTATCCCTCAAGAATGTTCAGATTTGGCACGACTACAGATTACAGTGGAGACCGCCTTTGTATGATAACATTTCATCCATTCGTTTTCCGGGAGAGGACCAACAACTTTGGCAGCCAGATATCCTGCTTTACAATAGGCATGTCAGTTCCGCTTTGAACTTGCTATTGAAGCTTGGGACTAATCAGGCAATAATTATTTCCTAAAAATTACCTCTTAAGAACCAGAATATAAAATCTGAGTGCTGTTGCTGAGTTCTTTGTCCTCATGTCACATTTCTGTGCTCTAAAAACAAAACGAAAAATTTGAGTTGAGAAATAACGTGCGACTATTCCTCTATGTTTGCAACTGTGACACAAATTACTCACGACTACAAATTTGCTTCCCATACTTTTTTCTATCATAACTTATAATAACGGGCTAAGGTTGTTTACGTGTTTTTGTGTGTGTGTATGTATGTCTGTGTGTCTGTCTGTAACGAAATTCATAGAGCGAGTTCCAGCCAACGTCCTGAGCCTAAATTTTGCACATCGCCTGCGACCAACATAAAAGCCTACCATGCAAAAACACGAGTAATTTTGTTGGGCGGATCCTTCAGAAACTGCGCGTCAAACAGAGCCACTTGGGTTCTGGCCAGCAAAATTGCTTCCGTATCACCACTTTTTGCAAAGTCGGGGATGTGTTTGGCATGCTAATGTGCAGGCCATGGATTTTAGTCCAAAAAAGTGGACAAAAGTTCACTACTTTACAAGAACGACGCCAAAAAGAAATTGTTGCGTAAATGGTCAATTTGCTATGGTTTTACCTGAGCATTTGAGAAAAATTTTGCACAGAGATGTAGCTCACGTCGCCTACTGTCCTTATGGTAGTTATTAAGCCAGAAAGAGTCTTAAAACCTATTCAAATTTGTATTTGTTCTTTTGCGAAAAGTTTCATCCACGCGAAATCACCGATCTTACATGAAATAGCATTTGGAATGGGTAGTTGTTTACATTTTAGTCGCGATAATCATCGCACTGCCCGGTGAGTTTCATTGCCACCATTAGTCAAGAATGAGTAAGACATATGAAGTAAGACCAGTGCGAGCCTCTGCGAAGCAGAGGTGACGCACTGGTAATATAAATTATAAATCAAATGTCTGAGTAAGAAGGCTTACTTACAGATATGTCTCACAAGGAAAGTGTTTGGTCGAAGTGACCTTTTCAGATGTTGTACACTGTATTGAAGAGCATAAAACGCTGATTCCAAGTCTGCCTTCCTTATTTGCGAAACATTTGTGGACAAGGAGTTATTAGCTTTATTAAAGAAAAAAATGAAATGTGCATTTAAGATGAAATGGGTTGCTAAAATCTTACAAGCCCTCAAATAAAGCAACAAGTGTGAGATCTTGGAGCAGTCATTGAATCTCCACCAGCGAGACCCAAATACCCAAAGCGCTTAATTTTCTTAAATAAACGCTTTTCTCCACCATCGAGACCCAGTTACTCAAGCGATAAGTTCCCCATGTGGGAGCTCATTTCCACCAGCAAAACCCAGTTACTCAAAGCGTGTCCAGATGATTATTTCTGCTTCATCAGCACTAAAACATATCACGACTAAATTTGTCCCATTTGCCCATTCAGTTTTTGGCTCGTCACTCTTCGTCCATGAACGTTCCGTAGATGCAAAACAGATTTGGAATCAGCGTTCTATGACCTTCCATATGATATGTATTCGATTCGTTGACCGCACGGACTGGACATCATTGCGGAGCACGCGCCGCGAGGTAAAAAGCGTGCCTCAGTACAAATCCGCTGTCGTACAAGTCGTGCTCTCGCAACAATTTAGCCGCGCTGCGCGTGGTCCGCAGCATTTGAGCAATCCTTGCGGTCAACGAATCAACGATACATCTCTATATACAAAAAAGTAGAAAATATGTGTGCCTGTCTGTGCACATGCCCCATAGTCATGAAGAATGAGCGTTGAGACTCATTTTGATCTGCTGGTCATCAAGAAATGGTAACGACGATAGGAAGCGCACCCAAGACGAGTCGGAATCAGAAGAAGGATAAGTTTCGCTACATGAGAGCTCAAGCACGATGGACCGGCTCCAAACTTAAATGGAACCCGGGATGCCATCCCGTTCCATATAAAATAGCCACTTCGATTGAACATTGAACATGATTTCTGCAAGCAGTCAAAAAACCAGTTTCTCCCGTGTGTTCTCCCAAAAGTTCTTTAAAAAGGCGGTATAGTGTGTCGACCTAAGTTCTGTGAGTCTGACAGAGATTCAATCGATTTTCCAATCTGAAGTTAACACAGATATTGCTTGAGAACTAGAGCTTTCGTTACAGTTCACTTTCAGCGCAAATGACCGTTTTGACTCGGCCTATAAAAGCAACTTGGTCGTCTACAGTAATGGCGAAGTGAACTGGATCCCGCCCGGAATTTTCAGAATTACTTGCAAAATGGACATTACGATGTTTCCATTCGATGAGCAGGTAAACGTATGGTTCCAGTAGAGAGATTCACAAAGGAGCTTTGCAGATTTGCTTCCTGAAATTTGGTTCGTGGACTTATCATGGCTTAGCGCTTGATCTACGCGTTGAAGAGCAGGAAGAAGGCGGTGGTGGGCGCCACTTGGCTGCTTCCTTTGTTAAGATTATAAATTGTATATAGAGCTATCGATGGACTTGTCCACTTACATACCAAATGGAGAATGGCAACTGCTAAGCGCTCCTGCCATTAGAGAAGTGACCTATTATCAGTGCTGCCCTGAACCTTACCCTACACTCAAGTAAGCTAACGAAAAAAACTCAATGAATCAAAATCGGGAAAAAACTCAGTGAATTTGAATTAGAAATTGACACCTCGTTCAGATTCTACATGCATCTCAAGAGAAAAGCTCTCTATCACATGTTCAACATAATCACTCCGTCATTGCTCATTTCTGGAATGACGCTACTTGGATTTTGCCTCCCTTCTCACGATATGAGCGAAAAAATCGGGTTTCGTAAGTTTTTTTCTGAATGAGAAAGTCAGTGCGTAGACTTATCCTATATAGCAGTGGCGTACCGAGGGGGGGGGGAGCGGGGGGCGCGCACCCCCCCCCCCCCCCGAGAATGGGTCGCGAAATTTTTGAAAGTTACTTATATGGGTTATGAAAATGTGCAGGTGACTTGTTTATTTTCGTAAATAATTAAAATAATTTTTAAAAATTCAAATTAGCCTCGTAAAAAAAAATGTTTCGGGGGCGTGGCTGACGCCACGCTCCCTTTTTCCAGATTTTAGGGGTCAGGGGCCCAAAAAAATTTTGGGAAGCATTCCAAAAAATTTTTCGGAGTGCGTGGCTAACGCCACGCACCTTCTTTAGAAAAAAATTTTTGTCGCGCCCCCCCCCCCCCCGAGCCGAAATCCTGGGTACGCCACTGCTATATACAGTGACCGCCAAAAAGTTGCGGACAAGCCGCCCTCCTTTTTTCATCGCTCATTTCCAGATGGAAAACAAAGATGAAAAAATGATATGATTGCATGTGGTGATAGAGCTCATCAAGAGCTACAACCCACACATCGCGCTTTCTGGAAAACATGTATTATAAAAATTTTAAAAATGTTTTTCTGAAAAAAGTCCGAAAATGGACGCGTCACAATTTCGCGGACATTAATTCTTCGAACGCGAAAATTTTCTTTTAGGCCTTTTCTTGGGGCAAAAACAGAAGTTTTCCTGACAGTTAAGCATAGTATATTGTAGAACTCATCGAGGACAATAATATGGTAGTGATTACTTTCAAAAAAACTCAAGCTTGAATTTTATTTTGCTTCTTTTCAAAAAATAACTTCTAATTCCCTGCTTCAAGCCAAATTTCTTCATATGGAAACCCAATCAAGACATCCAAACGAAGCTATTCGGATAAGATGGATGCCCTTTGTTATCTTCTATGCATCGGACGTGTGCTGGAGAGTTTCTTTGTCAAAAATGGCTCTTGACAGTTCGTGCACATGACCCCACCTGCACCTCACCACTGACCTGCACCGCTTTGCAGGCTTGTAACTCAGCCGGCAGTCACTCTACGAGACTGCAAGTAGGCTCATTCGAAAGAGCATGACTTCCTGGACACGATGGTGTGCAAAAGAGTTGGGTATGACAAACAGCGGAGAAATGGCGGATGGGGTGTCAAAGTGCAGCACTGGAGATGAATGGAGTGAAGGCTCCTATCAACACAAGAACAGTCTTAGAGTTCCGAAATGGATCTATTACACGAAAATTGACAGTTTTGAACTCCTAGGATGAAATTGGTAGCGAAAGGAGCCCTTTCTAACTTTAGCTGAAAAATCCCTAGCCTACCACTGAAGCTGCGCTTTGACACCCCATCCGCCATTTCTCCGCTGTTTGTCATACCCAACTCTTTCGCACACCATCGTGTCCAGGAAGTCATGCTCTTTCGAATGAGCCTACTTGCAGTCTCGTAGAGTGACTGCCGGCTGAGTTACAAGCCTGCAAAGCGATGCAGGTCAGTGGTGAGGTGCAGGTGGGGTCATGTGCACGAACTGTCAAGAGCCAGTTTTGACAAAGAAACTCTCCAGCACATGTCCGATGCATAGAAGATGACAAAGGGCATCCATTTTATCCGAATAGCTTCGTTTGGATGTCTTGATTGGGTTTTCATATGAAGAAATTTGGCTTGAAGCAGGGAATTAGAAGTTATTTTTTGAAAAGAAGCAAAATAAAATTGAAGCTTGAGTTTTTTTGAAAGTAATCACTACCATATTATTGTCCTCGATGAGTTCTACAATATACTATGCTTAACTGTCCGGAAAACTTCTGTTTTTGCCCCAAGAAAAGGCCTAAAAGAAAATTTTCGCGTTCGAAGAATTAATGTCCGCGAAATTGTGACGCGTCCATTTTCGGACTTTTTTCAGAAAAACATTTTTAAAATTTTTATAATACATGTTTTCCAGAAACCGCGATGTGTGGGTTGTAGCTCTTGATGAGCTCTATCACCATATGCAATCAGATCATTTTTTCATCTTTGTTTTCCATCTGGAAATGAGCGATGAAAAAAGGAGGGCGGCTTGTCCGCAACTTTTTGGCGGTCACTGTAGGTATTACACCACTGCTTGCTACCAAGTTCTCAAGCCACCTACAAAACTTCGCTCATAATTTGTGCAAAAGCCGCATCTACACTTACGAGGTTTTTTCGCTGAAACTCGGTCTACATACCGGAAGAAGCTTGAAAATAAGGATGCTATAGAAAATGCGGTGGAAGGACTATGGTAAAAGGAACGGGCTGTAGTATAGTACAATTTGGGAGTTTTTTTGTGCAAGTCATGAGCGGTACCGTGTTAGGCCCCAGACAGACTTCACGCGATTTTATCGTCGAATGAATCGACGAGACAACTGTTACAACATCATTCCATGTCGATCAACTTGCATTTCGGTTATGATACTTTTCCAGCCCGAAATTTTTGAATGTGAAATGAAAATGAATGGAAATGTCGGCGATTGAGTCGCGAAGATCAAATCGCGTGAAGTCTGTCGGGGCCTTAGCTGGATCATTTAACGTCTCTAAAATATAGTCGAGACAAGGGAAGAGTGAAAATTTGCTGGAGAGTTCTTTCCTATTAAAAGATGAACTGCAAATGAACTGCAGTGAAGATACCAAGTCTTCTGTCCTCACTTATATTAATATTTCAGAGACAACCATTCTTCTATCAGTCTGCTTCTTCCTGACTATTCTGTCGGAGATGACACCTACTACATCTGAGTCCATCCCATTATTAGGTTCGCTTCTATTTTATTCTTCTTTGATTAGGAAGTGAAAAGGACTAAAACAGGTGTTCTTACAAGCAGAAAACGCCTTGATTTTTATCATTTCTGCGCTGCAAATGTCATGTGGGATTATGCGTATGAATTGAAAGACACAACAACTATGAGAATGCAGAAGATTTGGAGGAATTTTTGAGGTATCTTCTTCTCTTCGGTGACTCTGATCGTTGCCATGTCGACAACATTCACAGTCTGCGTGCTGAACATCCGATACAGACAACATGCGAACCATAAAATGTCACCATTGGTAAGTTGAATTGCCTAGTCATAGCTTGCCCCAATTCAAAGTATTCAGATTCGCTACGTCTTTGTGGAATTGATACCTTGGCTGCTGTTCATAAGACGACCTGGCTTCAAATTTTCTGCTGCCAAAGCTGTAGAAGTGCGTGTCTTGAAAAGTCCACATTGCGTCCAGGTAAGAGAAGTGAGTGTACTGCGAAAGTAAACTCTTTTGCCATTTGAGTGCGCGTCGCAGGACGGGGATATGTTCTCGAGTTGCGACGACTTCAGTCGAGATGGCTCTCTTCTTTGCCCCGCTCTAATGGCAAACGGCGGAGAGAAATTGGAACTTTCGCGAAAAGTTGGAGATGTAAGTAGCGATGAATCTTGATCTTATACTAGACTTTTCTTTATCTCATTTATAAATGCACTTGAAGTGCCAGGAGAGAAGAAAAAGGAAATTGAACTAACGCAATACCAGCCTAGTCTCAAGACTCTGGAATTTTATTCAGTGGAAAATCTTTCTTGCGAAAACAAAAATCAAAACGTTGTAGATTACTAAAATATGAGTCCGAGGTGTTAGTTTGTCAAGATATTTATATTTTACCATTTCATTCCAAATATGCAATCCAATACCGATGTGATGATGGAAATCAGGGCTCGGCACAAGGGTGGCAATGTCAAACTGAACTACTTTTCAAAAAAAATGTATAAAATTTTTCACACGACTTGTTTTTACTTGTAAACAACTAGAACTTTTTTCAATTTTTTGAAAATGTTGAGCCAGCATTCGGAAATGTTCCAGCTAGTTCAAGATCAGCTTATATATATATATCTGCTCTGCACATCTTCCTCACTATTCATTATATTACTTCGTATTAAAGGAAGTAAGTATACAAAATGCAATAATAATGAAGAGCACCAAAGACAAAAGTGTTTTGTTGACAGAGGACTTTATTACGTTTTAAGGAGTCAGAGTAAACTAGGTTTTGAGAAAACAAGAAGTATGTGTCGTCAGTCGACCTTATGTTAGGCCTAAGACATACCTCATACGATTCGGCCAAATCGCCACTTTCACGCGACTTGGCGATTTGCCAGATCTTTACAAATTTACCATACGCGCTTCTCGGACGCGTATTTGGGTAGCTTTGAAGTTGTTGCAAACGGAGCAAGTTCTGACCAGAGACAGCGCATTAAAGGCAGTGTCCGGGCAAAAACTCGATTGAGGTTTTGTGCTTACCCGGGCCTATTCGCTACGCTGAATCCGAAAATGCACATTGACGGCGAAAAGTGGCTCTAACACGGGAGGGAGATCAGCAAGTGGGCAGGGTCTTCCCCACTGTGAATTCACGTTCCCAGCTTGAGCGATCTTCTCGGTTCCGATTCCAACTCATGCATTCGCACATGGCCGGTGGAGATCTCAGGGTGCTAGAGGAATTGGGAAGATCGCTCCAGAAGCTGGGACTGCGAAATTCACATTGGGGAGGACCCCGCCCACTTCCGATTTCCCTCCTGCGATAGAGCCCTTTTTTGCCGTTTTCGCGCTTTCCAATGTGAATTTTCGGATTCAGCATAGTGAATAGTACCGGGTTAGCACAAAATCTCAAAATCGACTTGTTGCCCGGACACTGCCTTTAACGACGAATAACGAAGAGTCGCTATTGTGCCGAATCGCGCGAGGTATGCCTTAAGCCTTAGGGTTTCACCTTTTGCATCTTACAGGGACTTTTCGTTACGCGGAAATGTGCGAGTACGAGGAAGCGGAGAATGGAGCGCTGTGAGCGATACGTAAGCAAATGCAAAGCAATGGTGACAGACGGTAGGACAACGAGGACTTTGGCCGAAGCTCAGTTTAAGCAGCCGTTTCAGCAAGTGCTGATGCGCAAGTTTCCCTACAGACGCTCGACATCTATCTCGCAATATCACGTCGCCTCCGTTGCTTGCGAGAACAGCTCGACGATGACACTTCAGATCGTGAAACTATGGTGAGACTTAGACAAAGGAACATTGGTAATCATTCCTTAGCAGTGGCGTACCCAGGATTTTGGCTCGGGGGGGGGGGGCGCGACAAAAATTTTTTTCTAAAGAAGGTGCGTGGCGTTAGCCACGCACTCCGAAAAGTTTTTTGGGGTGGTTCTCAAAACTTTTGCGGGTCCCCGACCCCTAAAGTCTGGAAAAAGGGGGCGTGGCGTCAGCCACGCCCCCGAAAAAATTTTTTTACAAGGCTAATTTGAATTTTTAAAAATTTTTAAAAATTTTTTAAAAATTATTTTAATAATTTACAAAAATAAACAAGTCACTTGACAAATGATAGTCAGCATATATTTTTTGAGGCAGGATCTGGGCAAGCTCCTGCATAACACGTCTCATCTGAACGATAGCCCCTTCTATTGCATAATAGCGATTCATATCATTTCGGGATTTTCAGGAAGAGTGGAAGTTTGCTGCATTGGTTCTTGATCGTCTCTGCCTCTACATGTTCGCCTTGCTCTTTACAGTTTGCACGATCGCAGTTTTCTTCATCGAGCCTGTCAGAAGAAAAAAGCTTTTACCCTCATAGTCAATATTTGTAATTCTTTGTCAGTTGTGCTCAATGCATTTTCTTGGACGTATGTACTTTGCTATCAAATTATAGTATAGTTGACCAAGGATTTTGGTGTATTTGCGGAACTATCTGGAGTTTGCCGAATCGTTCTGGCAAAGATTAAAAGTGCAGTACCCTAAAGCAAACTTTGGCTGCTATTTATTGAACCGTTAATATCAAAAAATGCTATCGAAATAAAATTGAATTGAAGAAAGCTAAAACACTCTTACTGTTAGTTGCAGTCTGAGTGCACCACAGAATTTTTCCAATGAATGGGAAAGGTGGTAGCGTCTCTGAGAAGATTTTAAGATGCTTTCCAACTTTTTATTGAGCCTATAACCCCAAAATCTTCGCGAAACCTAACGGCAGCCAAGCCCCGAAAGAAAATTTTTCACAAAACTGATGTACTGAATAAATATAAAAAGTCATTCTTAATGTTTATAAGTGAAAAAATTCATTTGCACAATTTTATAACTCAAGTAGTTAACTTTTGTAAGAGGAAAACGAGACGATAAAGAAGACAAAACTTCCTTATTTGCAATAACACTTGAAGTATAATTCTCAAGTGTTTAGGATTACGAGTGATAGGCGCTTACCAAAGAACAAACTGAATTCCAAGTCACATTGGTGCTCTCAAACCTAAGGTACGAGGGCCAACTTTGTTGCTTCTCCCTATAAATCGCCAAAGCAGTACGAGGTTTGAGGGCAACATATTAGGTCATTTCGAAAATATTTTCGCTTTCTTTGCATGGGTGCTATAAAGCACAGAATAAACATCTTAGAAGACTTGGCGGCATTTGATGCACTTTTTAGGCTCTTTCACAAGATTATATATACTGCAGTTCAACAAACGAGCTCTCGGAAAATTACCAAAAACTACGACTCATGGTTTTTGCCATGCTCAAGTTCCGCTTTTTTTCTAAATTCTTGTACTGATTCCCCGAAGAAATCACTGGGGATAGAGTAGACCTTACAGGATACAAAACAATTTTTTCCTCCTTCATAGCTCACTTATTGATGCTATTAAATTCCACATATGGTCAATTTAAACCTCATGGACTACCAGCCGGAGAGCAACTCGGGTGTTTCGGTGCGGCACTTTCTCCTCTTTCAGGGACTTGTTTTCAATCCTTGTGAAGTTTTGGAGGATAAAATCGACAAAATTCATGTTCTTGATGGCGCCCCAAGCTGTATCCCCGAAAATTCAAAATATGATATTTCGAAAACCGGAACGCTTATTTGTTTTGTTGGATTATTGCTAAATCACAGTCCACTTTGAAAGTATCAAAAATCGTGGATTTATTGGCTTTTGACGTTTGCATCTGATATGGTTCTGCTAAAGTTCGTTCGTGTTGTTGGAGATTCTGTCAAATAATTTTGGCGAGTCATGGAAGGAGAACAAAAAGGTTTTGTATCCTATAAAGTTTGCTCTATCCACATTTTACTCGGACTTCATCGGGGAACCAGCACAAAAAATTTAAAAAAATAGCGACTTGACCTTGGTCAAAACCATGAGTGGTGTTTGTTGGTAACCTTTCGAGAGCTCATTTGTTGGACTGCAAGAGGACAACCGTTTGCGAGAGTATGAAAATTGCATCAAATGCTACCAAAAGCTTCCATAAATCTTTGTTTATGGAAGCTTGGGACTATGGCGTTTGTTCAGAAAAAAAGCGAAATTTCGCAACGACCTAATATTCCTTACAAGGACTTCTATTGCATAATTCCGCTTATAAAATGCATACTAATTATAGAGATGCGAGATTTGTAGCGTAGCCTTAGTTCTTAGGCAATATTTTCGCGAGGTTTCGATAGTAAATGAGGTCGCTACTTCACTCTAAGCTCCTGCTCGGCAAAATGTGGATAAAGATGTGGAAGTTTTGGATATCCTATGCATTCCCTATCTACAGTAAGAAGTGCTTTTTACAAAGTTTTTTCAGCATCTTGTGAAGGTCTCCAAAGTCTTGGACGAGGATAGCTGACAATGAGTATTGATTTCTTTAAGAGACGATTTTTGCATTTCTCTATCTCCTGTGCGCTAGAGGAGCTCAATATGCCCCTAATAAGTAATATTTACAGACTTCAAAAATTCGACCTATGTAATCGTAAGTGTGACGTAGCCAAAAGTTTACTCTACATATAGCTTTTTCAAAATTTTAAAGTGAATCTTCAAAAATTGGGAAAATCTGGCATAACCATCCAATAACGCCGCAAAGACTGCATCGGACAGAGAAAAAATGCAACTATCAGAAACAAGATAAAAATCTGAACCAAACGAAACCGAATCGTTTATTGATGGTATTCTGTGGGTATTGGTGGCCAATCGGGCAATGACAAAACTCTTGAGACAACCTAATAGATGTTCAGCGCTAACTCTTTAGCATAAGCTAGCACTAAGCTTTCAAGAATGGTGTTCTGAATTCTGCGATTTGCCAAAAAGTGCTGAGTATAGCTATGTAATCTCAGAAAATCTGCAATAATTCCTTACGTAGCAGTAGTGCATACGTTATTCTGCCAGGCTCAAATCTCACATGGAAACAAAAAGCAAAACTTACGACAGATGCCATTTTGCGAAACATCAATATCGCACTCACTCACTCACTTTCTCATGAAATACAATTCTCCGCTTTCGTAGTTATTCGTTTTCTAAAACGCCCCAGTGTTCCAAGGACTACATCCTAATACACCACCTGTGTTTTTGTGAAGAAAATGCAGAGAATTTTCCCTGAAATTAATATTTCAAATAACTTCCCTTGCGAGATCGGAAATTACCATAATAAGATGAGCACTACTGCTGTGCAAGAAAAGTTTCCAGATGCTTTGACGGCAGCTAGCTTCCTCCGCAACTTTCTGGCACCAAAGTCAAAATCGCAAAATTTGGAACGTTACTTTTGTAACTTCGTTCTCGGTGGCTAGGTTCTAGACAATAACAAACCACGTTTGGACTTCATCATGGAGCAAATCCTTCTACTTATTGTTGAAAATCAAATAGTCGAATTTGGGTTCTTGAATCTGAGTGTGAGTTAAGTCTAGGAACTTTGCCAGTCTGATACTTGACCTGACTGATATAACTACACATCGAGGATGCTGTACTTTGATGAGCCCGCTGCTATTTAAACTGATACGGAATTCCAGACCCCTAGAAGAAAGTATGATGAACGGACGAGAGCACGGTAGTCACTTCCAAAAAAGTTTCTGTCATATAGATGATTTAGTTGACATCATTGTATGATGTCATTCTACAGTCATCATCTTGATGAAGGTTATGCTCAATAGCTAAGCTAGGGAAGAAACGCAAAAGGTTGGACTGAGTCATGAAGATGACATCATAGTCAGTCCAAAAACTTAGCGCTGTATATGTTTGCTCGTTATTATTTGGCATATTTTCACAATCTCCATATTTTTACTTTTTTCAATCAGCGCGACCTTAAATGAAAGCAGCTTTTGTCCTAGGATTTAGAATATCTGTGCAATAATGGGTGAAAAAACTTCTGCCGTTCCTGGGTCAACAGAACAAAGGATATTTAGCTGCAAACTGCAGGAAAAACAGACCGATAGTGCCTTACTTCATGTCATCTCCTCACTATTCCAAGCAGCTTTTCCTTTCAAAGTGATTTTATCTCCACCTCAATTGGTAAGAAACTGGCATGCATTCTTGATTCACTAGCTTCGCAATCTCTAATGGCAAGAACCGTTTCCGATCTTAATCGCTTGAACCATCTTAAAGACTTGTTTCTCATCGTCGGATTATATATAGTAGTGAACACGAAATCTCAGCTGTTTGTAAGTTATAGTCACCTTATTGTTAAGTTAGCTGAGATCTGCAAAATTTATCCTCTTTTATTACTGGAGCGCATGTTTCTACCAATACGCTCTTCCACAAACCACATTTTGACTGTATATGTGGTTCTGGTATTTTCTCTTCTCATATCTATACTTTTCTCTGCCAGCTTGCTCTTAAACACGAGCAATTTCCAACTAATATTTCAAGAAGAAATGCATCGATTTAAGGTAAAAATTGTTCTGTTTGTGTTCCAACATAACTTTGTTATTATCAGATCGAAGCAAACGATCTGTGGAAGGAGATTCAGCAGAAACAATTACACCTCTCCATTCGTCCACACATACAAAGAAAGAAGCGGCAGGGCACCTACACCGTTGCAAGTGCAGCCGTAGTGCAAGGAACTAGTTGCCGTTGCGATGAAAAATGCCCACCTGGTCCCCCAGGACCTCCGGGACCATCTGGTCTTCCAGGTTATCCTGGAATACCTGGTACTGATGGAAAAAATGGGATCAACGGTGACCAAATGTTGTTGGGAGCAGTGAAGACATGCATAAGGTGCCCGCCCGGACCGCCTGGAGATTCCGGGGCCGATGGCGCCTTAGGTGTGCCAGGCAAACCCGGTCAACCTGGAGCAGATGGAAGGCCCGCTAGTGCTGGAGCAGTGGGCCAACGCGGACCAGCTGGTCCACCCGGAGCTGCAGGCCGACCAGGCGTACCTGGAAGTCCCGGCAAACCAGGAGCGAATAAAATTAGAAGAGTGAACCTGCCTGGACCGCGCGGACCGCCGGGACCATCTGGAAACGTCGGACAGCCAGGTCCAGATGCCCCATACGTTCCGCCTCCATCACCGGGACCACGTGGACCACCTGGAGCTCGAGGTTTGCCGGGAAAACGTGGCAGTGACGGAGCTGGCGGTTTTGCCGGACGTCCCGGAACCCCTGGTTTAGACGCAGGATACTGTCCTTGCCCTCCGAGAATCCTCCAAAAAGAATTAGAAACCAATGAAGAACACAGCTACATATATCCTGAGCGTCAAGGAAACAATCCGATAGATTCCATAAAAGCAGGAAGCCAAAGCAAACCTCTAGTCGACTACAATCAATATATTATGGGATGCGGAGATTCCATAAAAGCAGGAAGCCAAAGCAAACCTCTTATCGACTACAATCAGTATTTTATGGGATGCGGCATGCAAAAATGAGAATGTTTGACCTTTGTGTAACTGATGTACATAATGTATTGTTAAAGTAACATTCCTGCCCGGAAATGAAATGTGATTTACGGTGCAAAACTACTGCTCAAGACTAATGAAGAAAAAAAGAAGAATGAGTTCCTCTTTATCAACTCACATTTTGGTTGTTGTTGGGAAACAATGACTTATCTACATTCTTGAGTGAGTTTCTCACAGTCAGTTTGGACGAACTGTATCACTCAACTGACAGTTTCTGTGAAAGCGCACCTTACAGTCCGTGTCATTTGCGAACTCCCTTTCGGATAGGTTCTCTCATCCGCAGCACTAGGGCCTTGCCTGTGGATCTGCAATCGATAAGGCAAATTTGTTACAACTTGACTGTAGACGATTGATGTTCAATTTCCCAAAAACCGCGCATAAATATTTGATGTCTATGATCGTAAGTTGCGGAGCATGGGCCACGAAGCCAAAGCTTTGCCAGCCAAATTGTCATTGGGCAACTCCTGCCTCTCACAGTCCAGCCGCACTGCGCGTTTCCGCAGTCTACGGCAGCACATGCAGTCGATGACTCAACAATAGAACATCATCCACGGATCGCTTAGACTTGCGTGGAAAATAAGAGCCCTAATATGTTTTCTCCAGAAGATACCGAGGTAAAAATCTGCTCCTTCCTAGATCTCCATCTTCCACTTTTTTGCCAGTGTAGGCTATTCCATAATCCTGATTCCGGGTATGATTGCAAAACACCAAAAACTCCCAAATTCCCTTTCCGAATCTTCATTTTGATTTGACCAATCCGCGAATTCCCAGATGCCCCATGTGTATGCAGCAAGAGATCGTGTGGCATGCGGCAGGGACACAGATACCCTTATGCTCCCCAACCGTGCTTGCCGTGTCAGAATGCTTCTGCCGGCATAGGGCATTCGAAAAGTCATGACGATGGCCGACCGCGCGCGGCACGCACGCACCTTCCGGCAACCGCATTTTCTGGGATTTAATCTCTACTCGACTGGTTTTTCTGCTTAGGTATGGTAGTACTCGGACACTGGAAGTGATTGAGATGAGCGTTGAGGTGATACTTTTTTGTATGAGAGTGCTATCTCCTGAGGGCGCTAAGACCGCAATCAAATCCGTCGTCACGATTTTATATATAAATGAACCTTACATAATCACTGGAGAAATAAGGAAATGAATGGGCAAGCTGTGATGGATCTTCCGCAGATCACATCCTTCCGTTACTAGTACTATTATTATATTAAACCAACGGAGCCTGCCTAGGTCATTTTTCCAAGAAAGAACGAGAAAGGTGCACTTTACCTACCTACCAACTTGTAGGTACCTTTTGGTACCTACAAGTTTTGCACACAAGGTGCTAAGCTTGTAGGTAGGTAGGTCCGCCTGTAGCTTAAATTTCAACTGAAAAGTTAGTTTCCACTAAACTTTAGAAGAGTTTGCTGCAAATTAGTATTGCGAAAATGCATGATTGTAAAATCCAGAAAAAGCTTTTTGACTGGCGTACTTATCTGTGAGACTTTTAAAGGCACCGTCCACCCAAATTGGGGTTGGCGAGATTATGATACCTAGCAAATGCGGGGCCCCCTGTATGATTGCCCAACTCGCGCTGCCTGAAGTTGCTTCCGAACCGAGAAAATTGCCTCGGAAATCGCTTCAGGCCGCATTCGCGACGCTGGCTCCTCCCCTTTCGGAGTGGGCGTGACGTTCGTCCCGCCCATCCATGCGCGCCCAACCAATCACCGTACCGAAGAAATCGCTCTGCTGGTTCTAAAACGAGGGTTTTTCGTGGTTTTCGCGGATTTTCAATTTGATATTCGGAATCAGGGGTATGAGAAGGCCCTGGAACGGCAAAAACATGGAGGTCGAAATTTTGGGTGGACGGTGCCTTTAAGCCACAGTTTATGGCGATGAACCATACCCAAAAATCGTATGCAAAGGCAAGGCTTTATCGAAACTGTTAAACTGAAGAGACACTGAAAAGATCTGTACACATGTATAACGCTGTGGGCTTGAATATCAGATTTTTATATGATTTTAAGAAGTACCGCATTCTTGAACAGTTCCTATAGATCAAATTTTGCACGATTGCAGCAATGGATTGGAGATAAACAATAACAGCAAAATTACCATCGAAGCACAGAACTGATGACCAAGAGCTGGTTGGAAGAACGAAAAGCTGTACACGTAGCAGTAAAAGGAGTTAAAACTCAACAAAAGCAGACCAGGTTGTTTGCTTATAAGATGGAAACAATGAATAAAGCTTAAATATGCTAAAACGATCTTTCTCAGGAACGAGCCTGGCACGATTGAAATTCTGCATATCTAATGAGCATGATGGTCATGATGATGATGGTGAGTATCCATAAAATGTGTGTCACGCAAGGATCCAACTCCTGTCGAGTTCAAAGCATGCGAGAGATCAGCGTGTTCGTGGTTGTGAACAAGGCGGAGGAGTCCTATCAGCGAGAAGCCCACAAGCATCACAAGCAGCTTCAGCAAGTTAGGATGTTCGTTGTCACGTTCATGAAGGAGCACCTACGGGTACAAATGTAAAATAGAAAGCAGAGACGAAGTTCAACGACAAACCTCGAAAAAGGTCACATAGAGGAAAGTACCGACAGCCAGACCCTGAAGCACAGTGATGGTAACATCCTTCCCAAAGCTATTTGCAGCTGCTGACTGAACAAGCATCCCAACGATGGCCCCTATCGGTGACATTAAAGCAAAGGTAAACACCGAAGCAACAACCTGTAAGAAAAGAATAGGATTATTTTGGAGGATTGCAGACTTTCGCTTACCCACTGCAACTGATGAGCGTGAGTACGAGCTAACTGCAACCCGACAGAGAAAGCCACGATCACTTTATGAACGAGTAGCGACAAAAACAATGCTGTTGTTTCGGAAGCGTTATTCTGAGCAAAAGAGTCGATATCACCTTTGCAAGATTCGGTAACATACGTTTCAATACAAGATTCTCTCGGTTTATTCACCAACACTGAGAGCAACAGTTCATCCTGACGAGTTCGTAAGATCGCGCACTTTCCCATACGAATATTAGTCACGGTAAGTAATTGATACGGTAAAGGTGTGTCAATTCTGGTGAACAAATTCAAGATAGATCTCGCATTGTCGAAGTTAAGGCACGAAAGAAGATGGCTAACACGAACTCCGGTGAAAAAGGCGTGAAAGCTTACCCCCACTCCTAATGCAATGCCTTCAATGACTGAATGGATTGACAGAGCAAGAACGAACGTTATTGAGCGTACGCCATGAGAATGTGCATGAGGAGAGGACTTCATCAAAATCGGTGGATCCTCGTTTACTAAAAAAAACTTAACTTTCAATGAGCTCTTCAACGTTACGAACGAACTTTTCTCGCAGTTAGTTTCACATCGCTCCGGTTCAGCAAAAACAAGCGTTGTGAAGACCCTGAAATACGTAAATAATAGGACTACGACGTCTCACGCTGCTGACAAACCACAGGAGCTACATAAGAAAAACATGGGCGATGACGACAAGCAACATATAGCCATCATGTACTATCTCAACAAAGGTTTCGCAAAAACGTGAACAAGACAGGAGATTAGAGGATGAGGAAGGAAGACTTGAGCACATACATTATGGAGAGTCATAAATTTGAGAAAGCTCACACACTTAAGATCATTTTCACAAGAGCACTGCGTAAGAAGTAATGTTTTCTCTCTTTGCCTGTTTTCGGGCAGTGAGCTGATGCTACCATACGAGCGAGTGTGGTGTAGAAAGAGAGTAGTAGACCTAGTACATACGAAAGAAGAAGTGGATTCCCACCTTTCAGAAGGAAGAAAAATAATAGGAGAGACCACTGACTCGTTTGCGGCTTTGCATTGCGGCTCGCGAGAATCCGAATTGCGTCTTACTCGGTGGACCGTCAATGGGCAGTGCTTCTGGCAATGGCCAGCACCTTCTTCTCCAGTGATCGAGGCTTCTTTATCATTCTCTTTGATCAGCACTGACGTAGCTTCCGCTGCAAGTAGAAATATTCACTGCGTAGCGGATAAAAATTGCCCTGTTGCTCAGATGGGTGGCACGCGAAAGGCAACAATGCGCACATTGCAAGTGGTGTGAAATCGCTTTCGCTGATTTTTACAAAATTTTACTCGAAGGCAACGTCCAGGCAGATCCGCACCCCACGGAGATTTTACGTGGAAAGTGCTTTTGGGGCCCTAACTAAGGCACTGCCCAAGCGACAGCGCAGGTAGTGCTCTACTAACGGCTGAGATATTCCCCTCGAAACGACCCCGCCATCGTATTCGCATGACATGGCAGTTTTGCGCCAGGATTCACGCTTTGCGCCATGAATCCATGCGAAATACGATCGCGGGATCCAGATTCGAGGGGAATATCTCAGCCGTTAGAGCAATATCTGAGTTGCCGGTTGGGCAATGGCTTAGTTAGGGCCCCAAAATTACTATCCACGACTATTTACTTCTAAATCCTCGAAGTTCAGAACTTCGATCTGAGCACCTACCGAAGTTGAGACAGTACACCTCCGATGTCAAATGGAATACTCTCAATTACTTTGTTCCCCAACTTTTTTTACAACTGCACTTTATGACTGGATTGCTGCTGGGGCATGATAGGATCAAAAGAGTAAAGTATCAAGTTTCATGTTTGTTTTACTGGAGCATAAGAACAATAGTCTTTCAAATGCATGTGTAGCAGAACAGCTTGAGGGATTTAGTAACGGTGGTGTGGTGTTTTTTCAACCCCAATCGATATAAACATGACCGGTAAAACTGAACTGAGCAAAACGGACTTCGAGATAGCTAGAGATGAAGTTAAAGAACACAAAAAAACATGCATTCGTGCATCCATAAAATGCGATTTTAGATGGTAAAACGGACCGAATAGAAAAAGGCGATCATACAACTCCTCTTTGCAAATGCCTCCTTTTTCTGCATAATTTGTGACGTTCAGCCCACATTTAGAATTCCATCAGTGAGAGCTTGTGCTGACTACAAGCTACACTACACTTTTTGCCCCTATACTCAACGCACACAGTGCAATCGCTGCAGGAAATGACTGTGGCGACTGATGGATTGATAGCTCATCGTTATCGTGAACACAAATCATAATCTTGATCCAGTCTTTAGACCAGATTTTTTTTTCATGAATTTCTGCACCGACACACTAGCTGCACTTGCCGCATCAACTGCACGAACTGCAGCGGCGCAGTACAGCCGAAATATACTTTTGTTAGCCAGGCGCAACTTCCAGTTCGACCATTAGGGTATTTATAGCGCGCAACAGCATCAGTGATAAAAGTTTACAGTGATCAAATCGTTCTGGATTACAAGTAAATACCTAAGAATGGAAATATGAATACAGATTGAAATTTGCTGTTGCACATATAGTAAGTTAGAACAAAAGTGGAGGACTCTTAACTGAGAACGGTATAGAAACATGACCCAATCTTCAATCGCATTGAATCTACGATAGTGCTTAACAGATATCCTCATAATTCTTAGACAGTGATTCAAACTGAAGTCAAATGATGTAAGCCCAGTCGGTTGACATATAGCAAAAAATGTTGCAGAAAAGCCCTTATCTGTTTGAAAAGATGAGTCAGCATACCGGAAAGATCGTTCGCTTCTCTCGAAGTCTGCGTTGAAATGTGATTGCCCGTCATGCAGCAACCGCTTACTTCCCTCTTCATCGTGGGGGAGCTAGAGAAGCGAGTTCGGCACAGAAACTCGGTCTGACTCAAACCAACCTCTCACCCATTAGATATCCGTGACCGTGTTCACCATGAGAATGTGAGTGGGCAAGCGATGGAATGGCCATGATGACCACCTATGATCGAAATCTCGAAAAAGCATGCTTACTGTGGACTTATCTGTTTAAACCTCCTCAAGAAAGAAAAGAAGGAAGAAACCAGCACAGCTCAGCAACTCAGCGATAGGATACTCGATGTGAAAGCCGTATGACTAAAAACAGATGGGCTACAGTTGTACAATTCGCCATGCTACTGTGAGAGTATAATGATAAAACAGATTTGCTAACTGGTATTGAGTTGCAAGGCAAACTTGTATGAAGCAGTGGATAGAACAAAATGTCTAACAAACATAGGACAAACAATTACTGACTATGATAAAGCGAAGTGTAGCTCACAAAGATATAAGTATATCACATGATCTACCTAATGCCCTCAGTTCACATTTAAAAAAATTCTAGGATGATTGATGTAAAATAGGACAGCGAAAACCTCAATAAAATAAAAAAATCGAAAAATAAGTTCTATTTTCGATTCGATAGAAATTCATATAAAAACTACGGAAACAAACCTCATCGAGGTGTCGCACGTTTTCTGCGAGCTCCGGAAAGAGATGAAGAAAACACGTAGCCAGGAAAACGCCTAGAGTCAGGTATTGTTCAATAATAGATTCATCAACCATACAGAGCTGCTCACCTCCCGAAAAACATGTGAGTAGGCAAAGAATCAATGAGACGTTCCTGTGCTGTTTCGAGGAAGACGCATGAGCGGCGCTGTAACGGAGGTAGCGCAGGACCTGAGTGGGTGGAACTGGATATCAAAAAAGAGTGCAGGCAAACGATCTACCTTTAGAGGAGCGAGTCCCGACACGAGCGTCGCACATATCATCACAAATAGAAGAATCAGCTTGAGAACATTCAAGTTCATGGCTGAGGGTAGGTGTATTTACCTCAAGTATGTTTTGCCTGAAAGAAGTCACGCTCGAACAACCAAAAATGCAAAGATTGAAGCAAACATGAAACAAACTACGCATATGCATGAATAGAAACACTTGAGAATACGCATAAAGTGAACAAACGGAATGCATCAAAACACCGCTCTCTGACAATACAAATGCAGAAGTTCATAAAATGAAAACGGGTCGACTGTCACGCCCACAATGTAACTGCAAAGAAGTCTGTCTGAGCGTGCATCACCGATTACACACCAATTTTATTTCACAACCAGTATTAGAAGATAGGCTAGACACTCTTCGTCATGCCTAGCGGGCCTTTTGATGGGCCTTAACATCGAGTCGCTGCGGGACTCCAACTGATTAATCATGTGCGGCCTTCAAGAGATTTTTTATGCGTGCAGTTCGCTTTGCCGTTTCGCTTTCTCGGCTCTCGCATTCCTTACTCTCCCTCGTTCTTGCAGATGAGATCGCTCGAGGAATTAGCACCGGAGATTAATCGTCACGTACGCAGTATATTGGATTTTCCTAAGCAAGGTATCAACTTCAGGCGAGTATTAGCGAATTTAAAACTTGTGTGTTCTATATTTATATTCGACTTTCTTTCTTTCGAGACCGAACTAGAAACAGAAGCATTCAAGCACCCTTTCAAATCAATTAAATTCAAGGTACCGCGCTAGGTTCTGCGCGTAGGCGATGCTCATCACTTCATATATCGCAAAACGTCACCATATTGATGCGGACGATAAATTCTAGTTGAGCATGGCTTTCTTTTTTTCAGCTATCGTGTTTGTGGCAAAAAAATGGGGAAGAGAAAGAGAACCCACAAAGTATACGTTCACTTCTTGGTTTTGCGTCCTCACCACATTTTTTGTACCTAACGTGTAATTCCATCCGGATAGGGACGGTTGTAGAAGAAATCTTTGCAATGCAGAAAACAGCAGATTCGTAGGTATTTTGGTGCTTTTCAGGCGTTAGACACAGTAAGTGGTAACCTCGGACAGCTAGTAAGCCATGCCATTTGATTTATGTGCTGTGTAGAATTGCATAGCAATAAACCGCGGTTTTGAGTAGGTGACAGTCGGGTAAATTGCGCCTCTGTCCGCCTCTCGTCCTCGGGATCCGGCGAGATGCTTGTGTCGGGCAATCCAATCTTCAACAGATGCTCACAAGCTCTTTGTGAGTGTCTTAAAGCTTTCGACGTGGTTAACAGTATTCGCCCATGTATCGGCTGCGTAATAGAGCGCTGGATAAGTGGTTGAGAGTAAGGCTTGAGATATACCTGACGGTAGAGGAGAAACCATTATCCGTCGGAATCCGGCGCGACCTTAGCTACAGTATATAGCTAACGCGACCATGAAAGGCGACCCAGCTGCCTCTTATCTTTCCCCCCGTGGGGGTGATCAGCATGCTCGATTACCCCCCTGTGCCAACTCCCAGCCCGTAGCTCGAATTTTGCGAAAAACCGATAAAATCGATAGCGATCGATGACGAAAAGTAGCCTATGACACCCGCCGGGGCCCGAAGTGTATGTGTGCCAAGTTTGGTCCCGATCGGTTCAGAAATGGAATTTTCTATTCGGAACATACGTACAGACATGCATACAGACATACAGACATACAAACAGACATTCAACTTTATATATAAGATGGTGCCTTTAGAACATAGACAGTTAACCCAGTGCGCAGTCTTGTTACCCGTAAGGGGTGTATCCCTTCTGACTGTCTACGCAGGCGCCGCGCGCGACATACTGGCAGTAATCAGTTGCGAAGAGAGCTCGGGTAGCCGACTCGCGAAGCATACTACTCCATCTTTTGTGAATGTTTTCACACTACCATATCAAATTTCACTGATTAATGGGATTTTGGCTCCAAATCGTGTAAAAATGAAATAGATAGTGAGTGGAAGCATGGAACATTTATCTAATGACAGAATATGTACGTTTTATTCACATTACTAACGTGACCCTAAGCATTTCCTCTGAGACATTTTCTCTGGCCCTGCTGTCTCTCGCCGGGTTACTGTAACGCCGCTTCGCGGCAACTTCAATCGATACCCACAAGTAATGCCCCCCCCCCCCCGTAAGGCATTTGCGTGCAAGTTTTATCTTCTCCAAAATGGTATACGCTTTCATATTGAAAGGTTGCTACGACTGACCATTTGAGTGCTTATGCATTCGTGCATACGTGTATGCACGCTGGTGTTTCAAGTGTAAACGAATAACTGAGTTTCTTTACAGTGGTATGGTGGCCTGCTTATCATATAGAACGCAGGGTTTCGCGATAGATGCAGGAGTTCAGACCGCGAATCTTGTATTCAGTCCGTTCCTGATTATATTATGCTGATCATGATGGGTAATGCAAAAATGTTATTGATTTATTTAATCAGTACGCTCTAAGGCGTACTACAATAGCAGATATGTGTAACGTGGTGTTATCATTATTTTTATCTTTATAATTCCTGGCAAAACTCTGTGGGATATAATACATATAGTTCTAAAATCAAAACTTTGCATATTCCTTAGTAGGCGTGAAAATGACCTTGCACATAATTCTTTCGTGCATACGCACGTATGCACGCGCCAAATGCGCCAGAAACGTTAGTGGGGGTTTTGCCCAAAATGCCTCGGTCGTCAACGTGGACAGGGTCAAGTTTTGTCTCGAACTGGCTCGAAGAAAGCCCGACAACATCTGTGAAAGCGTGGGGAGAACGCAAATGACTGTTTTTCTATCGGGGAAACTACGCGGCCCATTCAGTATCTTCACTAGAGCAAGGCTTAGTAAGCAACTAGCTGGCGTCCCCGGTCCAGCGCGGACGGGGTTAAACTGGTTCGGCAAAGCACAAAAGTTTGTTCCCGCTTGTCAATAACCTACCCTATCTTCTTGGCTGTTACTTCATCTTCACTGCTCCTTCCTTTTCCATGTTCCTGCTCCGAATCCTGCAGTTGTTTCGTGGAGGATTTTGTCTTCCTTTCTTGCTCTCCCGTCGCGTAACACCGCATCTTCCTAGCTGCGAAGAGTAAATGAAACTCACCGCGCTCGTTTACGTTCTACAGAAAATGCTTGGTCAAAAATGAAAAGCTTTCATTTACCTACATGTAAGTAAACAAATCAATAAATCGATGGAAGGACTCAGTGAATCGTCGCGAAAAAGCAGCCTATCTTCTGCGCCCGTGTCATTTATATGGAAGCGAATTTCAGTCTCATCGGTCCACAAACATAGGAGTCTATAAGCCATCTTATATATAAAGCTGAATGTCTGTTTGTATGTCTGTATGTCTGTATGTCTGTCTGTCTGTACGTATGTTCCGAATAGAAAATTCCATTTCTGAACCGATCCGGACCAAACTTGGCACACATACACTTCGGGCCCCGGCGGGTGTCATAGGCTACTTTTCGTCATCGACCGATATCGATTTTATCGGTTTTTCGCAAAATTCGAGCTACGGGGCTGGGAGTTGGCACAGGGGGTAATCGAGCATGCTGATCATCCCCAAGGGGGGTGATCAGCATGCTCGATTACCCCCCTGTGCCAAATTCCAGCCCCCTAGTTCAAATTTTCAAAAAATCGATAAAATCGATAAAAGTAATGGACGATCTTGAGAACTAATATTGTATTCGTAATCTGCATGCTCGATTACTCCCTGTGCAAACTCCCAGCCCCGCAGGTCAAACTTTACAAAAAAATCGATAAAATCGATAAAAGTAATGGACGATCCTGAAAACTAATATTGTGTTCGTAATCAGCATGCTCGATTACCCCCCTGTGCAAAATCCCAGCCTCGCATGTCAAAATTTACAAAAAAACGATAAAATCAATAAAAGTATCGATAATTCTGAAAACTAATATTGTATTCGGAATCCCCATGCTCACTTCCCCCTGTGCCAACTCCTAGCCCTGTAGGTGAACTCTGCAAAAAAATCGATAAAAATCGGTAAAATCGACATCGATCGATAACGAAATGTGGACTGTGACACCCGCCGGGGCCCGAAGTGTATGTGTGCCAAGTTTGGTCCGGATACGGCGGAGCCGGGTAAGCCAGCTAGTATACTTATAAACGAACAAATTTACAGAGATTGAGTTTTATCTATATATATATCTAGATTAGGCGCAATATAAACGTGTAACCCCAGAAACACGTATCTGCTTGTTTTAAGCGAAAGCTGTTCCATTTATATGTGGTTATGTGTTCTTTACAGGGACATCATGCCTTTGTTTGCTAATCCAAAGTTAATCAAAGAACTCTGTATTGCAACAGCCGAGCACATTCGCAAAGACGTGGGAAAAATCGACGCCATTGTCGGCTTGGAAGCACGGGGTATTTGTTATGATCAGGGGTAGATTTTTTAGGAAGTACCCTTCGAGATTTGTATCGCGACTCATCTATTTAGGCTTCTTGTTTGGACCTATTGTTGCAATGTTTCTTGAAGTAGCTTTTGTTCCAATCCGAAAAAATGGTAAACTACCAGGACAGTGTTTGCAGGCATCCTATGTGAAAGAATATGGCGAGGCACGTGTAGTAGTTCTCTTTGTTTCTTGTACTTGAACTCCACAATTATAGGATATCGTTGAAATGCAGCAAGATGCTTTGAAACCAGAATCCAAAGTTGTGATCATCGATGATCTGCTCGCAACCGGCGGAACATTGAAGGTCAGTTTATTTGACTTCCAACCATAATGTGAATCTCATTTTCACCTAACTCGCTGCCAATTGGCCCCAGTGAAATTAAGCTTATAGGCTGCCGTTGATGTTGTTGAAAAGGCGCATGCGGAAGTTGCCGAGGCTTTTGTGCTTATAGAGCTTTTACCCCTTCACGGACGAGAACGAAATTCAAAAATCCCAGTAACGTCTGTATTGAAATTCAATGAAGCGTAACCATTGCCCATGCTTCTTTCGATGAATTTATCAGGTTTTGTTTTATTCTATTACTCGATAATAATTAAGTTACTGATTGTGAGGAAGATGTTGCTGTTTTAATGTTTATATCACTTAACGTAGATTCTAATAAAGGAGAGAGTTCTGAAATGTAGGAACATTGCAGTTCTGATTCTTCTGAATTAGCAAGGAATAACACACGATATGTTTCTACTTTCAAGAAGTGCCGAGGAAGTTTGCGCGAAAATGAAGTGTGAACTCTCTGGCGTTTTCTCTGGAAGTCATTTGCGCTAGGATGTTTCTTCTCCTTTTTTTTTCTTACACTCGGAACTTCCCAGATACTTGTAGTCTTTTATTGTAGTACTTGATGAAAGCAATGAAACCATTAAAGAAATCATTTATTTATGAGATTAGTCACGGGAAAGTGTAAGTTACGAACTGAGCGGCGGCATACAGTGAATGTTAAATACTGTGGGATACCAGTCGAATGCGAACCCATTGTGGGCGCGAGAATACTGCGTTAGAAACAAAATACACGTTAGCCAAGCAGTTTTGGAGACCATTGAGAATAGCACAACTAAAAGCACTACAGAGAGGGTACATTATGTGAAAAGATATGCGAAATGATTAAAGGTATGAATTTCAAAGTGAAAAGAAGATAGCAAGATTCAAATCGAATGTTGAGCTTCGGCAACGAAGTAGAAGGTAACTAAGAAAACAACATTGGTATTAAAGAAGAATTGGCAAGTGTCTAATTTAATGCCCGAAAGCTCTTCAATATCAATTGGCTGTTAGATCGACGCTGCTCAGAGGTTACGCAGGAATGTTTAAGCTTGAAGAAAATTGGTTATACATTAGAACAAAAACGATAGTCGATGTGTACAAAGTCACCATTCACGGCACATCGAGAAAGAATCACATATAGTACAACAAACGAATTCAAGAAACCACTCCAAACTCGTGCTGGAGCGCTTGCAAATCGTCTATCATCGTATCCAAATTCTCCATCTGCGCGTTCAGTTCCTCGGTTGAGTTTGATGGCTGCAAGTGGAGTTTTATCAATCGTCTGTATAGCAAAAGATACACTCACTTCAAATAAGCAAAAAATTGTCTCGATGTAATTACGAAATATTCAGTGCGCTACTTATTTAGCTACTGATAGTGAGATCGTTATACATCAATGTTTTTGTTGTCATTCAAGCAATGTGGAAGAACTGCGGGGTAATGGTAAGATCAGAAGCCTACCCGTAGGTTGGCCGAGCTGTCAGGAACATCGGCGGACTCGACATGCGCTTGTTTCTTTTCTATTTCCGGATCAGACGAACACGATGCATATGGACTGAACAAACAAGACTTTTATACAAATACTATGAGTTTTCTACTTACCTATAGATGTTGGTGACATTCACTCTAGGCTGTGCGGTGGCTCTGCCTACAGGCAGCTGCCTACCGCCAGCTGCTACTACCATGGGCCGAATTGGTTGCTGAGGCGGTCCTTGACTTGGAGGTGGAGGTGTGCCAGCTAGCTGCGTGAAGGACCTGCAATTTCCATATCGTTATCATACGCAAAGGACATGAAAATTAGCTGAAATATCTAAACTTTCAACCTTACGTGAAATGAGACTAACTTAGAACCAAAACATACCTAAGGGCGCCTTGGCTCTGTTGATTTGACGACGATCCACTTCCACGCAAGGTTCGGTAACCATCTACTACAGAGGGTGGTCCGGGTGGAGGTGCCTGGAGTGGAACTGGTGGTGTTGCAGGATCTAGCGCCGATGTTGAGCCATATGGAGATTCTCCAAATTCTATTTTGGCAATGGGCTAAAAAATCTGCTTGTTCTCCTCGACAGATGGTTTTTAAGCAATGAGCTACCTGATGCCTTCCACTACCAGTATATACGACTTGTGGAGTTCGTTGTCTTTGCCCTTCCAGACTAGACTGTGAATGATGGTAACTCCTTGATAGAGTTCCCTGACCTAAAAGGCATAATCAAGTAAACCACCATGTCCATGAAAGTGATTCGGCTTGAACAGTACCACACGAGAGTGCATGCAACTTTACGCAACATACTTTCTTCGGAAGAAGGGCCGTAGCCTACAACAGACGCTAGGATCGGCTTGGCACGACCAACAACCACAGGACGACGACCTTCCACTTCCAGACGTCGCAACTCATCGTCATATGAAGACACAGAATGGCGAGCTGGAGTCCGACTATGGCGCAGTGATACCGAGCCGTATGTGCTTTCTGTCGGAAGAAACAATACGACGACGAACAACCACGATAATTGAGTGCAACACATGAAGGTTAAGTCTCTGACAACATTTCAAGGATCGTGCAGTTCCACACTCTGAGAGATTTGAGAGAGTATTAATCGGAAAACAAGGGGGGAGGTGACACGACTGATTGGAAAATGGGACATGCTTGGTTCTGAACGTTTACAGTAAAATTTTGTCGAACAAACCTTGCAAAGCGTGATATCGTGGTGGGGGAGACTCAACTACTTCTGGTCCAGCCAGATGTTTCATGTCTACTACTGAAGCTCCAATACCATTCACCATGTAGTCTGATGCTGGAAGCTCATGTTGAAAATAGCATACAATCTTGCGAATCTCAGCTTACGTCCACCACGAATGTGATTTCCACTAGGATGATCAATCCAGAGATCAGCACCAGGCTGTTGAGCGCTTGTCTTTTTTCCAGCAGTATAACCATTTTTATTTTTGGCACTCCTAAAGATATTGAACTACTGCATACAGAGTAGTTGGGTCAGTAGCTATCCGTTTACACTCATGTCTAAATACAATTTACTCCTTTCAGTAGAGTGCAAACTAGATCGATTCAAAGCCGATAATCCTGTGCAAACCGCCTGCTCCATTCTCACCCATTTTTTCTCCTTTTTTTTGTATGCAAAAAAGAGCGTTTTTTATAACATGAACAATTTTTATTTTTAGAAAGAAAAACCTCAACTGCAAGCGCAGTGTCCAAAGAGATTTGCAACTTTTGGATTTTTTGATCAGTTTCACCCTTTTTCAATGTGGAAGCAAACCAACCTTTTGAAAATACATACAGCGACGAGAACAATGCAGAGAAGAATGAGAGCTGCGAAAGCCACCACCACAGCTATATACATAGGATTAGAAGTGAATAATGCTAGCAGGTCGTTCCAGTTTAAACTGGGCCCTTTCCCAGTAGATGGGACTACCACGCCTGCAGGTCGAGATCCTCCATACGGTGCGAATGTTTGTACAGGCGATAACGGGCCATATCCTAGGATTGGAAAAGTTCTTGCCAGTCATACGTCTGAAGAACCAAAAAATACCTTTTTCATTACGCGCTTGGATTTTGAAGTAATAAGTGGTTTTTGGCAGCAAATTTCTGATTTCGTGACTCAAGCGGTCACCCTGCACATAATGGATGATCCAGTCTTTATCGGCTTGCATGACTCGATCAGTATGGTAAATCAAATACTCTGAATTAAGCTGTAATGACCAGTTCAGCAAAGAATGCCACTCTCACCTTCTACTTCACCGTTAGAATACTTCGGTGGCTGCCAGTTGAGCAAAACAGCTTGTGGATCACCAGAGGCAGCGGGAAGAACGGTCAGATCACGTGGAGCAGAGGATGGTGCAGAAGCATGTGTCCTTAGAATTTATGTAATAACATGAGCCATACAAAAGTATATCATACTTGTTCCTAGCTGCCATGCTCCATGAGCTTGGTGTCGCACCAGCCACAAAAGAGCGGACAGAAAATTCGTATTCTGTGTCAGGACGGAGCCCTTCTATGGTGACCCAGGATTCAGACACGTTGACATAACGCACTTGGTTTCCGTCGGCACTAAAAATAAGAAGTAAAAGTCACTTAATCACAAGCATATTCGGATTTATATATGGATATCTTTACCTAGTACTGTAGCGCACTGTGTACATCATATTGAATGCGTTAGGATCCGATTCTATCCATGTGACACGGATTGATGTAGCCGACAAAGCTTCAGCTCTTACACCAAGTGGAGTCGACAAAGCGCCAGGGAGCGCACCATTCAAAAACAGAGTTGAAGAGGGGGACAAAGTCCTGCAAATGACAACCCTATAACTGCAAAATCACCCCTTGAGAAGTAACGCTAACTTGACGGTCTCGTAGATCGGAAAGCCAGAGCCTTGTTTATTGAATGCCCGCAATGAGACAACATATTCTCGTGAAGGACGCAACCCAGTGATTTTATGTTGGAGAACATTGGGACCAACACGTTCCATCGAAACATCAGGAACGTTGTTGCCCCAGCCAATCTGATATCCTCTAACAAGGATGGTTTCATCTGCCGGAGGAAGCCACGAAATCATGATGTAATCTGGCCCTGCTTGTGGACGAAGTTCGCGAGGTGCACCCAGCAAAGCTTCTTCTTTGTCCACGAGAGACGTCGCCACCGGAATCCAATCGGAGTATGGACCAGTTCCATTCTGAAATCACGAGAATGTTCCGCATGATACTGAGACAGCGGCAGCAGACAAAAACGTACATGATTGACTACGGCCATTCTCACAAGATATTGGGTATTTACATCAAGCCCAGTGATCGTGTACTCCCTCTCGCTTGCGTCCAAAACAAAAGTGTTGCCTTTGCTGCCGCGTACTCTTGTCTTGTACTTCAGCCTGAAAAAAAAACAATATAAAAATAATACGTTTGTTTTTCGGAAAGGAGCCAACGTACCGATAGCCGGTGATTTCCCCGTTTATGCCATCAGGATCTGGTTCGTTCCAGGTGATTCTGATGCTCGTACTAGACAAAGTTTCAGCCACTATATCTCGGGGTGGTGATGATGGTACATCTGACAGCGTACGGACCTGTAAACCAGACCTTTATATAGTTTGTTCTGACGTAGTGAAAAAACATAGATTAGAACGGTAATATTGATGGGCGATAGAGAAGGGAGGAATACGATGACTTGCCGAAAAGATTCGACTATAACACTGCTACTATAATAGGTATTTACGAAATTCAAATAACCTGGCGCACTAAAAATGGAGTAGAGAAAGAGTCGAAAGTGGAGGGATCTACTTGAACATCACGCTCGCTCAAATGTTTTTTGTTAAGCCAGTCCTTAAGATCTGCGGTTTTGGCATCTGTCATTCACCTATTTCAAAATGTATTACTTTTGTGTTATTGCAAAGGGTTTGCTTTGTTGCTGCGTTACAAAATGTTAATCTCGAACATGTGCATCATCATTCCACTGAATTATTCCAGAAAGAACGAAATATTGCTAGCACACAACGTTTCGGATATTCGACCTGAGCACCTTGCCGAAGTTGAGACAATACACCTCCAATTTCAAATAATATTTCTCGATTAACTTGTTCCCCAGTTATTTTATAAATGCATTGCTTTACCGCCTTTATGATCGGATTGCTGGACTGGACATGATAAGATCAAAAGAGGAAAGTATCAAGTTTCGTATTTGTTTTAACCTGTTTTCTTTTTCACTTTGTTCACACACAAACGCTCGAGAACACTCAACACTCTTTCGCAACACATCGCCTGCACAGAAAGCTTATGAACAGGGTTTACCTTTAGTGGTAGGCTACTCAAACCACTTCCATTCTCCCCCTCAGCCTCCACCCGGATTTGATATTCTGTGAACTTGTCCATCCCATGCAATGTGTACGCCGTGGATGATATCTGCAAATCTACCTCAGCAAAAATGGCTACTCAAAGCAATAAAGAAAACACATACAACTGTCTGCGTTTCCTTGTCATCAGGTTCTGGTGGATTTCTGATGTAGAAAAGCTTGTAGCGTGTAGGCGTTGGACCACCTTGTGGAGGATCCCACTTCACTTCTATAGTTTCAGGTCCTAGAGCACGCGCGACTAAATTAGTCACACGCCCAGGTACTGCTTCTGGAATGAAGAGTCTGTGAACTATAGGTTCTATTGTTAGAGAGGTTACTTACGCTCTTTCTTTGTGGTGATTTTTATATGATCGCTACTTTTCCCCATACCAGCCTCATTCTCGGCCACAACTCGCAACAGGTATAACGTGTCAGGTTGCAATGACGTGACTGTTATGGAAGTGCTCGAAGAGTTCAACATCCGTTCTCTGAATAGTAATATATCGGTTTGATGACAAAAGGGCATGGAAAACTACCTGTCGCTATCTTCTTCCTTGTATAGCACGTGATATCTCATTATGTGACCGTGTCGCATAAGTGGAGGGTCCCATTCCAAGTTCACAAAACGACTCCCTTCAACGTGATTTATTCAAATGACTGAACTTAAGCAATTCCAATGAATGCTAGTCAAGATAATGACTCACCAAGAGATCCAACTCTCAAGCCTAGAGGTGCAGAAGCAATCAACGGCTGGCCCGATGAAGCAGCGACGGAAGAGGAGTCTGAAGATAATTTTAAAAATAATAGAATTCGATAATATAGGTTGTCAGTAAGTCTTGTCAGATAGAAATACTCATCGCAGGTTAATAGCACACATTTATCTCAATGAGTGTTGATGTGGGTAATTTCTATTAGCCAATTCTCAAAACGCTCAGACACGCTCTAAAACAAGGCCTTCTTGCTTCAAAGAATCAAAACGAAATAAGATCATGTCATGCAATATCACATTGAGGCTTAGAAAGTGGAAACTGTGAGTGAAAATTTAGTGAGAAATCGAATTAGAATAATTCCCATGCGCACACATGTCAAACAACCGAAAAGGCTTGACGTGATACTGAAACTAACCATCAGCCGAAAAAGATATAGAACTAGTTCGTGCACTCAGAGTGCTGCTATTAACACCGATAGTAGACAGGTAAGTGGGTCCTGTCAGAAAAGAAGCGAACCAAATGGGGTAAAAGCTTAAGAAAAGAATGTGCAAGGTCTACCTGCGTTGTCTACTAGGAGCTGAGCAGCGGCTTGATCACTACCAGCTTCGTTGTCCGCCATGCATTGATAGATACCTTGGTCAGCCTTGACAAGTCCGAGAATCCGCAACCTGAGATAAATTTCTCTCAAAAGATCAGATTTTGAGGCTATTGAAAGTTTCTCACATCTTCACATCTAAATTAAGACGCACCTTGTTGGTTCGATAACAAAGTAGTGACTAGCAATGATAGCTTCGCCATTTTTGAACCATGACACAGTTGGCGAAGGGCTTCCCGTAGATGAACATTCAAACTTCAAACGTTCATATAAAGACACCATCGAATACAGAAATTAATGCATCTAATCATTTACCTCTACATCGGCTGTCTCTAACGCAGCTTTGCTTTCAGGGCGAACGGTGAGCTTTGGTTCTACTGAAACAAAACCCTTGCAAATGCTCTAATGATACATGAGCAGAAACAGAAACTTGCTGTTAAAATGTAACGGATAACCACTGATTACTACTTCACCTGCAACATGAACTGCGACTGTTCGATCATGAGAATCAATAGTGTTGCTAGCTCTACAAGTGTACAAACCAGAGTCGGAGCCCACTACATTGTGCAACATCAGCGAGGAGATTCCGACGCGTCTTATTCTTACCCCATCAATGGCTATTTGACGAGTATCCTTCAACCTGAAATAGCAAAAAGTTCTGATCAGATAAGAAACTCAGAGGACAGTGCGCAACATTGCAAATGCGTAATACTGAAAAATGAAAAAAATTATTAGTCCATGGAATGCCTCGACGATGGATCACAAATGACTGGACGTTTGATCACTATGTCAGCTACAATACTTCACAAATAAACCAGGGAGGCATTTCTTACCGTTAATGACGACAATGGCGTTCATCTAGTACCAGCTACTGTTATTGTTGTACCCATAACCCAAAACCCGCGCCGTCGTAATTACTTTTGCAAGTCATAGGTTCTAATGGCCACCGTAACACTTTAACTAGTGATATCCGAAAGATCTCCATATGACCGAGGTGCCAATAGTAACACATTTCAAAAATGTATACATACAAACTAATACCACATAGTTAAACAAACCTTTAAATGGTTACCACTAACGCACTGCATCCCAAGCAATTATACTCCCTACAATGAACCCCTGAGTTATGGTGATTTGTTGAAAAAAATTTTTAGCACCCAAAAATCGATGATTCAATTGAGCTCAATAGTATCACTGACAACGGATCCTGCGGACCTTCAGAGCTACCTCTAACATAATAACACTCCGCAGACATAATGTCAACGACATTGTTTTTATAAATAAAAGCCGAAGGGAATGACGGTCTCCTTTTGGTTGGCGTCCACCCTTACAAAAACGAACCAGAGATGAGAGGACAAGAAAAGGATATGAACGAAACTGAACACGCAACTGAAACTTCACTGACCAACGCACTTCGGCCGACCCTTGAGAGCTAACAAGACACTCGAGAATAACATCGTCTCCTTCTTTTGCTGTCTGCACACGAGGAGATGAAAGAAATGTAAGTTCTTGCGGCGGCATACCTGAATGCAATGTGGACCCTTCATCGGAAACCAACTTTCACAAAAATTTACCGTTGTCAATGCGCAATCGTCCGCTGAGACTTGTTCTACGCTTGCCTGCACCTTCAACCACACATTTGTACTCTCCCTCATGTCGTGCTTGCACCGATGGGATCTCTAATGAGCTCGAAACTGGCAGAATGCTGTATTCAGCTGTAAATAAGAATGTAAGATGAACGATGACTCAATTCTGCACATTTTTCCTTTCAGTAAGGAAGCCCGTTTTACCTTTTGCGTTGTGAACGAATTTCTATAACTATAAAATGGAGTGCGTCCACATTTTTCTCTATCTCTGTTGTTTGTATCTCCTACTAGATGATAGTGGGCTGCGGCACACACTATCATGTTAAAATGAGTCACCGCCGCACGCATTTGCTTTCAGATGATAAAGGGCCCTCTGGAAGGAAGTGGCAGTAAAGATAGGATCTAATTTATGACATCGTTAGATTTCGTAATTTTTGAGAGATAGATTATCTGCTCCTCTGAACTGTATTTCGTCAACATTCACATATTTTCTTGATTTCACAAGAATCAGTGTTTATATATGCAATCATACATTCATGTTCTCCCATTAGGTCCAAATCCCACTAGCCTCGCGTATCGATAATCAATTGAGGTAATGCAGGACGTGAAACTCTGTCCGCCAGCCCTCAATTTGACCTTGCCGCATCGACATTTCCGGAAATCTAGCAGCGGGCTGAGTAAACAATTCATGGATGAATGACATAATGTCCCTGCGGGCATGTACACTCCTTATCTTCTAATCCATCTCCAAACCCTTCGCTATCGCGTACACATCGCTGCACACTATTGCTCAACATTTGGCAAATGTATAGTAGGATTCTGGAAGAAGATGCGGAGTTGCATTTCAGTGTACAGATAAAGTGCCAAAAAATAAAAAATAAACTTTTGCTAGCATTATCTTATTCATTTTCCCGAGTTTTTGCTAATACAGTGATACCCACCTCCACTGGAGATTGCTTTGTTGTTGTGATACCAAATCACAGTGGGCGGTGGTTTGGCCAGCTGAAAGAGAAAACGATAAGCATCAACATTTTCAAGCCCAGATCGTATACTTACAGTTATGCACTGAAACACAGCAGGTTGACCTCTTGCTATGATACGATCGATCGGTTGAGCTTCAAACCTATACAGTTCAAACAATATTGCATCTTCATTTATCTGAGCACACCCAGATCCTCGCCCACATTTCAACATTGAGTTCTTGCAAATGAAGCGCGCAAAAAAAATCAAAATTATCATTCGAAATTATCATCTGTGACACACTAGCTCAAAACATAGCTAGCCGCAGGCTGTCCATACCTTTCGCTAGCAACAGCAGATTTAGCGCAAACTAATTCCTCGGAGAGCAACCGCTGCTGCAATGCGCATTTATACTTGCTATTTAAGTACGGCGCAAAATCGCGGCTGTTTTTCTTAAAGGCAGCGTCCGGGCAAAACCTCGACTTCCATGTTTCTAGCGTTTCTTGCTTTTTCGACGCCCCTGAATCTAAATCCGAACCGAGAATTGCTTGAAATCTCCAAAACCCCCATTTCTGGAACCCTATTTCAATAATCGCGGACGAGTGTTCCGAAATTTATCTGGTGTAGTGACACGTGAAAACATGTGTCAAAGGTAGAAACACTGCGTGTAACGACACGTCAAAGGGGTGCGTCAAACATGTAAGCTCGTCTTCGTAGGCGTAAGGGGAGCGGAAGGAGGAAGGGGAGCGGCACTTGACCCGCCCACCTGACTTTCAGAATTCACATTTTCGGGGCGGACTTGCTGTTTTGTCTTAGTTGAGGGGGACCCTGTCCAAGTGTGACAGCATCTGAGGTAGGTCAATTTTGCCCGGACGCTGCCTTTAATTCAACGCTCTTGCTGCAGTGCTATTCAATGCCCTCTAACAAGGAAAGGAAGGTTGGTCGAAGTGGGCTTTTGAAATGAGATGTATACCGCCTTGTAGAGCTTGGAACGCTGATTCCAAATCTACCTTTGCTATCTGCTGCGGGCTTCTGAGCGAGGAGTTATGAAGGTTTTTGTGAGTAAAAATCTGAATGCAAGAGTAGGCTAAAATCAGTCGTAACATTTTTTATAGGGCTTAATTGATAGTCAGGCCACTCGGTGCAACAAATATTCTTGATTCAAATATACCAATTCGCTGCTGCATCATTTGAACATTGGGAAAAGGTTACGACTGATTCTACCCTATTTTTGCATTCAGATTTTTACTCACATAAATCTTCATAACTCCTCACCCAGAAGCCCGCAGCAGATAGCAAAGGTAGATTTGGAATAAGCGTTCCAGGCTCTACAAGGCAGTATACATCTCTCATTTCAAAAGACCACTTTGACCAACCTTCCTTCCCTTGTAAGTAAGTATGGTGGCAGCTTAGTAGCTGCCACCATCTGCTAGTGCTTGGATTCAACTTATCATAATCTTAGCAAGTTAGTGAGCCTTTCTAAACAATTTGTATTACCAACAAATGAATGAAAGTTGTAGGAAGAAACAATACGTTTGAACGAATCAATTGAAAAGCAGCGCGCGAAAGAGGGGGGGGGGGGGGGAAAGATAGACAACAAAAAACATGTAAAACATGCTTCATATCACCATACATTAGTGAATTATTAACATCAACCGGGTCATGGGAGAATGTGCCGTTTCAAACAGGGTAATAATGGTAAGCTTGAACCCTATATGCAATTAGCTTTCCCGAGGTGTGCTCGCATCATCGGCTCACTAATTCTTTCGCACTTATGGGATATATCACGAACTGATTAAGATTCTCGATAAAATTAGGATATTGGTCTTCGTAGGCATTCCAATCATTCGAGGTGTTCCTTCATTTTCTTACATCATACTCAACGACAAAGGTTTCTCCTGCACCCAAAATGCACCCGTCCTGCGGCCGAGTGCAGCCACAGACAGCCAAGGGATATGCATCCGCACGCTATATTGTCCATCCCCAGGCAGCCAGCAATGGCGGCCCAAGAATTTCAGAATTGCATGGGACAATTTTTTCAGATAAGAGGGTGTTCCACTAGCCACCCCTCCTAAAACATTTTTGGAATCTATCTCGCCCTTTTGTGAGCTATGGACAGCGAAACTATCTTAAATCTCATAGACAGAGCCTCCATTAGATAAGTCCGTCGCAAATACGTGATGACTTATCTCAGTCTTCGGACTTATTCGACAAGATTTTGAGGCAGTCATAATGGAAAGATACTCAAATCTGTAGGGGGACTTATCTGAAGAATAACTTGTCAAACAAGCGACGTATTTGTAAGGATTAGTAGGGTAATTTGAATTTTGAAAAAATTTCAAAAATCCAGTTCAAGTGAAAACAATTACAAACCTTATTCAGGTAACCAGTTTTTGTAACTCAATCTCGGGACGGAGAGGGGGCGGGAGGAGGAGGAGCACATACTTTTACAACCATTCGAATAAACGAGAGCAGGTGTTCGAAGATGTGACTGAGTCAAACTGCGGTTAGAGTCGGGAAGTTTAATTACCTACGGCGAAATCAGAACGTACCGCATCAAAAATTTATGGACTTTTACTAGCATTTCAAAAGAGCATTTTAGATGAGAATGAGATTAAGAGAAAATAGACGCTCTATTCAATATTCAAAGGAGGTGAAGTATGAAGTGATACATCGATGAACGAGAATCCGGTGGTATGGAGTGACAATTAGTTTTCACTTACTTGGGAAGATCAGGCAATCCTATCAACGCTCTTCTGCTCATATATGTCCACGTGAAACCATCATTTGCAGTTACGTGCACAACGCAAAGATAGGAACCAGTATCATTGGGGACAAGATCATGTATCGATAGCGATCCGTTGGAGAAAATTTGCCTATAATCAGCGAACGATAAAAGACATTGATTCTCTTCATCATCGATGTAATTTATTCCTTCAATGAAACAAACTCTTCTAACTGCTAACGCTGCGCAAATTAACATTTCTCTTTGAACACGTGTAAATCATTATCCAAAGGGCAGTACGGAAAAGAGAAAAAGCGTAGCGATAAAACCAGTTGCCTTATCCGTAGCGACTTACTTTTCTTTTTTACTTGAGCAACAAAAAAAAAACAGCAACTTTTGCAAGCGAAACAGAGAAGATTGCTTCCAAGAGACAAGAACTGCTGCAAATGCCAAGTTGAAAATATGATGACCATTATTAACCCAAATTTCAACTGTTTGCAGGAGAATCCATGGAATTGCAGACAAAATACACAAAAAAAAGTGTTTATTATTTTACATTCTTGTTCTTCTATCCTTTCACTTTTTCCTTTGGCAGTGCGCGCGCATTTCACAATAATCGGAAAACGCGAAACCTGACTGCACGAGCGCGGTGCTGCCGCAAATACGAATTGAACTGACACATGATGGCGAAAAGTCAAGAAGGTATACCAGAGCATAAAACTGACATCCTACTACTTGATTTGACATTGAGCGGTGATCCGTCTTTCTTCCATTCTAACCGCACTTCATTAATATTGGCTCGTTCAACAGTATACTGGCAATTCAATAGTATTCGGTTATCAGTGACGAGCGTAGTTTTTGGCTGCTCATCGAAACGGAAGCCAATGAATCGGTCATCTAGAATGAACAAAAATTAACAATAAACGCCGATGACGTCCCCGCCAAAGATCTTGTGCACTTCTCAGAATTTCCCCAATCTAGTCACGCTTCCAATCTTCGATCAAATGTCGCCTGGTAAACGGCCAAACGCCGGGATGTGCGCCATTAGAGAGGAATGAAAATCACTTGCTCATCAGAGCGGACGCAATTAGGATGTCAGCCAAGCGCATTATTGATGGGGGAAAGCGACAATACTGAGCACTGATGTCGTTTGGAGGATTGTGTAAAATCAAAGTCGTATGACAAGAAGATTTAAAGCTCTTCTAGCACAAAGTGCACTACATAAGTAATCACGTATCCGAAAATAATAGCAATAACGACCCATCTCACGCTCGATGCACATTTATCATGAGTTGACGACTCTATGCATATAGATCAAAAGCTGCACAATAGCGAGCGAGAGACAAAGCCAAAGTAATCAATGCCTTGAACGACCTCCACCGATTCAAATGGTGAGCACATCAATCTTATGTCGCTCTGAAGTAGCCAGATGGTGGGTTTGTGCCATACGCAAAATACTCGAGCACGAAAGGGGAAACTACTTGAAGCGTAAAATCAAGAGCAGATACATTTGCAAAGTAGAAGCTGACTTACTGAGCCCAACAGCCCTTCTAGCATGAAATCGCTTGTGTGCTATGGTAAGACTGGTACAGAATAATAGATATAAATAGATTGATATCCCTATAACTCCATGATGGGAATTCGTTATACAAAATATAGAGAAGCGATATCAAGCCTTACCTTGGAGGGCAACCATTTTCACGAAGAAAAAATCATCACATAGCTACACTACACATGCATATTCTGAGAAACTATAACATATAAATCAATCTGAAATAACGTAGTATATCGGTAAAAAAAGCTTGAAGACCGCAAAACGTGTACAGACAAGAAGAGAAGATAGCTTTGCTGTCAATTGCTCATGTTTAGAAAAGCAAACACAGTATTCGGAAATTGAAACTATGGAAATAAGATGACATGAGGTAAATACGGTAAAGCGGATTTTCTCAAAAAATCCAAGATTTAACTTCAAAAATTCACTACCTTGAAAGCTTTCAAGAGTGCAAGAGTAGACAATTCGATCATCAAAACTGCAAATTTTCTCCACGAAGGAGAGTAAAATTCTCATAGCAAGCTGTAAAAGCGAATAAGAGCACTATCCGACATAGATCAAATGCGCAAAACCATCCCTGGTAAGAAAAAACGCGCACTTTAGCAAACAACGCAAGCCAGACGGCTATTGAAGTTGCAAAAATATGCATTGACACTAATGGGGAAGCACGCACCGGCGGTACCAGACACCACAACATAAGAACTTCTCAGCTTCAAAGAAAAAGAGATGGATTGGGAAAAGCTTGGCGGCTATCCGCCATCACCCCCGCCCCCGGAGACTACCGGCCAGTCACATGGTCTCGACGGAAGCTGCCCGGAGAGCTGGACTTGCAAACGCCGTCGGCACCAGCGACTTGCAGAACCCGCGGCATTGGTGGGCGTAGCCTACGTAGATGCGCAGCTGGCGCAATGCCAACGGTGCGGAATGGCTTTCGCTGCACGCGGCTGCAGCGCGGTCCGCGTTTGAGTTTTTCGTGCATGCAGTTTTTCGTGAGAATTTTTCGCGAGTTTTACTTTTTTAAACAGCTCTGCATCAAGTTTCCGTTCCTTCGTATGAAGCCTCGTTCTTAATTGCCATCTGTTGGTTTTATAAGGTACTAATTGATGAGTTGTTGCCATTGAGTTTTTCAACAACATTGCGGTGACGGTCTATGCATGCATGTTTTTCTCTTTTTTCCATTATATGTTCTTTTTTCAGATTTACGGAATTGATCAGTACGTTATAAACACAAGTGGCCTTTTATAATGTCGTCGCAGAACGATGGATGGCTTTCAACAGTTAGTAAATTATTCTCGAGCGGTACGTTGTTTTTTTTACAATACGACCTTACTGATCTACTCCGAAGTAATTCTTTCCTAGGTTCACGCACTTCTCCTAGTTTCCCACAACAAAGTCGCTTAGAAGTTCAGGAGGAGTCCTCCGTGGACAATGTATATCGGGATTCTAACATAACGAATGGTAATGCTTCTTTGTACACTGGCCTGTTTTAGTCTTATCGACTTGATCAGGCGATACCATTTTTGTTCCAGCTGGGGATGAATGTAATGAATCATAGAGTGAGAGGCAGGCAGTCCGTACTTGATGATAATCACTCAATTTATTCGAAATTGAAATCTGCCCATGTGCTTCTGTGTATTGTTTTTTTTTTGTACCAACTGAAGCTTCCGCTTCAGTTTTTTTTTGTCATTTACAAATCACACAGCTTTTGTCTTCGGATTTATAGGAGTAACTGCGAGATGCCCACTACTTTTTCTAGGTTGGAATGCACTTGCGCATTATGACCAAATTTTTTTTGTGATAGACATTCCTCTGTCAATATTATTTGCTAGTCAAAATTACACTGTAATTCAGCCAACTATCGCTGTGGCGATTCCTCTCAACCCTTTAAATTTTCAGGGAGTATACATAACACTGGCCCGCCGCGAAGTCTTCGTTACCTTAGTCCGTCTGCGTTGGACGGTGGTTTCTTAAAACCAGGAGTTTCCAAACCCAGGCCATCAGAAGACATCTTTGGCATAACATCTAGCACGGTGAGGCAATATTTGAACTCCTATTTGGAATTAGTGAGTTGCTTGCAGCGGAAAAGAGTGTTGACAAGTGATGAGCGTCCCGCTACGGCTATGGACGGCATTTTTAGTCGCGACAATCCCAAAAGGTTTAGAAGAGAACATTTCGGACACAGTATGCTTGAAACTTTGGTTAGTAATGAGAGCTTTACCGAGATATGCCATTGCGTCAGTTCCATTCAGCACACTAATACTGATGATCTCGAATCTCCTTGGCTAGATAGAAGTATGGGTGGCTCATTATCTTGCGTAGATTTTGCTCATTCTCCTTGTTCTTCAAATCGTTCACTGATCAGGTAAGGCTTATCGCAGTTTTTTTCGGTAGTGATAGTGATGCTTGATGGATCTAATTTAGTCGTATTGGAGGCAATCGCAGCAATTCTTCAAGTTTAAGTTCGAAAACAAAAGCTATACTCAACCATCTTGAACGAATTAACACACCTGCTAGGGTATGGTTTGTTTTTATTGTCATGAATTTCGCACATTAGTTGGTGTTTAGGAAGCTCGTAAACTGCCTGTGATGCGCGGATCGACAGTACCGTCGGAACGTTGGGCTCCTATGCACATTGGTGCTGCTCCTCCTTTAGTTCGATCTAGTGCTACAGTGCCATCCCGCATACAGCTCCTCTCCTCATCCATGGCCGCTCAGCGCAAGCCTTACTGGTCAGTCTTTGAGATCTTTTACAGCAAGTTCTGTGCGTTCTCGAGGCATCCAGGTAGACACTTGACTTTACGGTTCCTAATTCTACACGTAATATTGCTCTCGGATCTGCAACGTTTTGCAGCCGGAGTGTAGTACCAGTTTCAGGCGTGATATCACAAGGAAAACACAAGAGAAAGAGAAGAGTGCAGCCAGGAAGGAGACCAATGTCAATGCTGACAAGACATCGGTTTGAACTACTCCCTATTCATGCATGGAATGCTTTTTATTGCATTGTTTAGGTGCATCCCTTATTTGACATAGACGATGAAAGTGTCCGGGGACATACTGATTCTACTGGGAAGATGCAGGAAGCGAGTGCGATCTCATCGTCATCTGCGAACGTTATTGATAAGAGTAGGTTCAATATCCCAAACCGGGATCGCAGACGATATAAGCTCTATTAATCCGTCGCGATGCCAAATTAGAATTGGTTTTCCATCTTTAGAAAATTACTCTCGTTTCTAGTGATTACTTTTTTCGCTCATTATTTCATCATTTGTAGCTTTAATCTCATTAGTACGCTGTGTTTATTCAGGTAAAAACGAGAGGCTGGTGCAGAATGTCTTTAGCGCTAGACAGCTTTTTGAGGACGAATCTAATGGTGTTGATAGCAGTGTCAGTTTGCCTGCTCTTGTAAATCTGGTGAAATATAGTTTGCGTTCTAGGTGGATCAGCCTCTATTTGCGCCTCCTACGAAAGCTGTTCCCTCCACAGAGATAAAGAATGATTTTGTATTCTCGTTTGCTCCTCCCGTTGAACGTTTACCAGGGAGAGAGCAATTTCTTCCTTCTACCAGTGACGCAAAGAGTGGAAGCGTTTCGGACGGTGAAGAAAGTGGCACCGACGTTTCGGAGGATGAGGAGGACAGCTCTCCATCGGATGTGGAAGAAGATACCACAAATAAAAATTTAAAGGTAAGACTTTCATATGTATAGCAGACCAGAATTTTATTTCTTTACAGTCTTCCCGTCCACCAACCGCTGCTGACAGCGAAACATCTGCTGTCATTTCATCTAGTATCACACCTGCGTCCTCGAATGATGCCTCTCCTCAGACAAAGGTGGAATCTTCATGGGAGTGCCCTGATTGTTTCATAACAAATAAGGTTGCTTTGAGTAGTAATTTGCAAATGTCTTAGTCCATGGTTTGACCGTTTCAGAACGTGTCGGTTTGCGTTGCGTGCGGTCATAACAAGGATGGTGGAAACGCTTCCAAAGCACTTGTCTCCAACATCTCTTCATTCGCGAAATCTGCACCATCCACAACATTCAGCTTCGGATTATCGTCCGGAAAATTAGCAAATGGAAGTAGCAAACCGAGTGTTGCTGCAGCTGTGCCTACATGCACAAGTGAATCACCTTCAAAGGGTTCAGACGCTGCTGGTGCTGCCACTGCTAATGTTGGTCCTGCACCGGCTGTGCTCTCTGTTCCTGTTGCACCCCAAGCTGATTCTTCTACCACTGTGAAAGCAATAGAAAAGGAAAAGACGGGGGATTTGGAAAAAGAACGGAAACCCTGGGATTGCCCGGACTGCATGGTTCAAAATAAGGTATGTAATAGATTGGGAGATACTGCCTATTACACATGTTAATTAAGAGCAAAAGTCTTTTTGCGAGGTTATCTGAATGGCTAGCACGCAATTAGCGTTTTTTAGTAGAGACTAACGAAAGTGGCATATATTATTTGCAGGCGACGGATGACAAATGTGTATGTTGTGGGCATGTGATGTACAAATCAAGTCAGGAGACACCATCTGCCGCGAATGTGTTTGGTGACCGTGCATTCAAACCACCTTCAAGCACTGGATGTGAGTTTCTCATTCTTTCATGTATTCAATCCAAAATCGTCAGTTCCCTTGCACGGTGATATTTATTTGCATTCAGTCAATATTTTCTTTCTCGGATTGCAGAACTATATAGAAATGATCATCACTTGGATCTCTCATTCCTAATCGTGCGTATAGGTTCGCTCAAACAGCTAATAGCGCGGCTTATTTTGTCTGGGATGGTAACTAACCCACATTTGTTCGCATTTTCCTTTATGTGGACACGCCCTGCTTACTATAACAGATCTTAATTGGTGTTCAAATTTGGAAGTTCTCCTGCGATCTGTTACTAACTTCCCATTATTTCCTTCAAATCGGTTTACCATACTTCACATCATAGAATATTTAAATAAGCAGCAATTCTTATGTAAATTTATTACAGTTACATTCGGCTTGAGTGGTGCAGCAGCAAATGGCGCCACTTCTATTCCCACTGTTAAATTCGGTTTCGGAACTAGCTCCATCAAGGAGGCTCCGGCAGCGAAGGAACAATCAAGCGCGATTGTATCCGCCCCATCTGTTCAGAACAGTAACGGAACCGTCATTGCCTCTGTATTCCAGCCCAAATCGGATGTTCAACCTCCTTTGCTAAAAACTGCTTCTTCGCGTAAGTTCACAAAAAGTTATGGTCGTGCTCTCGAGCTCAATGAACTATTTTAGCATCTTTCGTTCCAACAACTGAGAGCGTGGACAAGCCTCAGACTACCGCTTTCACCTTGGGGTACGCGTGAAAGCTGTCAAAATTTTTCTTATTGAAGGTTTTCCATTTCAGAGCTGGTTCATCACTTTTCGGAGCGGGAGCAAAGCCACCTCTTTTTGGATCGTCTTCAACATCTTTATTCAACTCATCTTCATCTACCGGTTCACTTCTTACTACACCAGCAACTACAGCGGCAGCAATTTCTGCTAATGTCAATGCTAGTTCACAAGCGGCTCCTACAAACGCTCCCGCACCATTCACTTTCGGTGCTTCTGCACCAGCGACGTCGATCAAACCATTTGGACTATTTGATACGAAAAAAGATGACACGTCGGCATCTGCTCCTAAAGCGCCAGTATTTGGAAGCGGGTTGACCTTTGGAACACCATCAACGGCTCCTAGCACTACTATGACCGGATCGATTACGAGTGGTACTGCAGGTGATAGTTTCTCTTTCACATAGAGCTTACAACTTTTTATCGCCCTATGTTTTATCTTATCTTGTTTCTTGGACTTACAAATTCAAATGCTTGAATTATTTTAGGGAACGCTGGAAGCACTTCATCCACAACATTGTTCGGTTCCTCCATGTCGAGCAAACCGTTATTTTCATCCTTCGGAAGTACTGCAGAAGCACCGAAACCTATGTTTGGAGCCGCTGTCCCAGCTGCGGAGGCTCCAAAGGTGCCTGTCTTTGGTGCGAGCCAATCAGTTGCCGCTGAGAAGCCGAAACCACTTTTTGGAAGTACTCCACCTATCAGCAAATCCATCTTTGGAGCTCCTGCTGCATCGACCACGTCTTCCACCAATGGAGGGCTTAGCTTCAATTTTGGCTCGAATAAGTATGTGTTCATTTTCTGGGTCGTGATTCTGCGCTTTTACATTTATTATCAATTAACTACAAATTTCAGTGCGTTTGGAGGCTTCGGTGCCGGAGTCTCTTCCAATCCCGCTCCAGTGCCACCGCTGTCGGCTACTTCATCTACCAACTCGCTCTTTTCTGCCGTACAGCAGGATACTTCAAAGTACTTACATGGTCTTGCTTTAGCTTCACATTCAAACATTATTCTTGCAGACCTTTCCAATTTGGCGCCACGATTCCGGAACCAACGTTCCAATTTGGTCAGGCACCACTCGCTGGTCCGACACCATTTCAGTTCGGTTCCACACAACCAGCAGCACCTGGTAAGATTTGAGAATGAGGTTTCCCTTTGCTAGTTATCTGAATTTTATGTTACAGCTTTCGGAGCCACGGGTATCACAGCACCAGCCGTGCCAAGCTCCAATTTTGCATTTACGTAAGTTATTTTCGTGCATTAGTGTTTTATAAGATTGTCGTAGACCTTAGATCGTTCCTCTGTGTTGCCCGGAAGGTGTCCTCGTAGAGATATCCGTTAATATATGAACAATAAGTACTTGCGTTTTCTGTTTTTTTTTTCCCTTAAATCACGATGTTGGGGTACCGTCCTTCTTTAGTCATGTCGGGATCGTATTGGGTTATCTATTGCGAAAATACTTTGCATTGCGATCTTCTTCCTGTTTTTTGAGTTCATTTGCATAGATTTTTGTTGTAGGTTGTACAAATTTTGAGAAATAGTCTGCATCTAATTTGCTTGCAGGTCGAGCAGCACGACGAATCGAAAGTTGGTGGCTGCTCGTCGGCGTTTGCCGCAACGGAAGTAGTTTGATCAGACTGTTATAGTTGTTGATTGACCCGGTCATGATTGTTACTGCCGTGGGTATATAATTGTATAGTAACTGGTGAACAATTTAGTTGGCCCTATCTTGCGCGTCCCGTATTAAGGCTGTTAGATGCAATCATTTTTCTTTTCTTTGACACTCCTTCCATTATCGAACTTTTGTCATCTTTGACGTGGTAGGGAGGATATGTTTTGTTGTGCGTCATGCAGCTTTCTTTCATCTTTTTTCATTGTTGACATGTCTGTGCATCACACGAATCGTTTGTGTTCTGTTTTCGTTCCCATTCTCTTCTGTTGTTTCATGATTTTTCTTATTAGAGGTTCTATGATTGAATTACAAGTTGTAATATTTTTTCGTGAGTCCTAATATTCTGTTGACTTTGTGTATATTAGGTGGCGAACATCGCCTGTGCGTATGATCTTAATCTGGCATACGGCTCACGCTCGCGCCTTGAGTCTAATAGTTCCATCTTGGTTAGCACATGTGATCCATGCTTTTGATTACTGATATTGACGTTGCTCTGATCGTCGTTATTGAGATTTCAATGAAGGTCAAAATATAAGCACTTCTAAAAGTGTACTATTGAGCAACATAGTCTTAAGGGGAGTTGCTATTATGTTTTCTGATCATTGAGAAGCTTAAGGTGATGAGGGCATCTGTATCGATGGTTTTGGCCGTACTGTGGCTTGAGGCGAAATAGCGCCTGATTGGAAGTACTCCTTTGACTCCTGTATATATATTACACATATGTTGTAGATTTATGAGGAGACGACGTGCTTTATTAGTGCGGAGGTAGGATGCTAGTAAATATAGGCGTGATGAAATGACATACAGTCGAGTGATTTCATATGATCATGTGTGCCAGTGCACATTCCGCCCAATTTGCATTCTCATTCTGGGAGGGGCAACTTCAGGCAAGTGTTTTCAATGTGTTCCCATGCGAGGTATGCCGCGTGCGACGATATTCTTATGGAAATTTTTCGACGACGTTACGATTGTGCAAATCGACCTACGATCCTCTTAATATGCTTCACTATTTCGTACCTTCTTCCACGACATTTAGTTTGCGACTTAGAGTTATTTTATAATTGCAGTCAAAAATCTCTCTAGTACGACGCGGTCAAGTGTACTCATTGAATCAATTTTCTAGCAAGCGCCAAGTCCAAGGGGTGCTCCTGCCTTAGGGATCGTTCAGATCGCGTCGGAATCATAGGTGCGATAGGGGGAGCCGGGCTCTCCCTAGGTGAAGGGGGTCTCGGCTGTTCCCGACCTTCCAGGGTAAAGGGGGTATGTGAGTCTAGGGGGGGGGGAGGAAGAGAGAAAAGGTAAAAAAAAGCGTGGTATGAAGAGCTCCAATTTGTACCTTATTTAGGCACAAATTGAAAAAAAATTAAAAATTTTCAAAAGAAATTTAAAAAATTTAAGAAAAATTGATTATGAAGATCTGTGCTCCCGTTTCAGCATCAACAAAAAACGAAAGCAATAAGGTTTATCCCAAAAGATGTACAAGTTAGGAACAACTTCAATTCCTGCACATCATCATCAGCAATATCACTATCGCTAATGTCAGAGACAACAAGTTCGCTGCCTGAAAAATTTTCTTCTTCCTCCAAAAGGTCATCGGAGTAGAAGTAGAATTGCGTGCAAAAGCGTTCTAAGTCAAAAATGGATTTGCAACTTTCTTCTTCTTCTAAGCGCTTTTGTGATTTTTTTCCTGGCCCTGGTAGCACCAGGAAAGTCAGCAGGTAGGTGAAAAGTTTCTTCATAGCATCTTTTAGGATATTTCAAAAAGTCATACGATAACAGCCTGTCTGGACCACTTATACCAATCCTTTAAATGAAGTTTTTAGATAATAATATGTTTAGTAGAGGTTGACAAACCTTAAGTAATTGCTTAGATGTTCCATCGTTGCACGACTTTTGCGTTGTGTTCTGATAGGAGTAGATAAAAAATTTCTTTCTCCACCTCTGCCGTGCTAGTCGGAATGGAAACGGAAAAGAGCCAATCGCATATGCTTTCGCAACACGGGAAGGAAATACTGCACACTTTTTTGGGCCTTGTTGAACTCTGGCTTCACCCCCTCTGGCATACGTCCTGTTAGCTGATTAGAAAGCTGCTCAACTTCTTCTTTAACAGCATCTGCGGAATAGCCGAAAAAAGTAGATACTATGCTGCGTGTTGTTTTTTTTTTCAATATCATAGGTCATAATGTCACAAGGCGAATTTCCAAAAGCATAAAGCACAGAGTTGGATTCGCACTCCAGTCGGGATCTAAGAGCAGCAGCTATGCTTTGTACTAACACCTTCCTTTTGTTCATATCCATGTTTGTGAATTAAGCAGCCTTGAAATTTTCAGCAACCTGAAGATCAGCAATGGACTTCCTGGGCATTTCCTCATTGAAACTAGGCAATCTGCTTGGATTCCTTATGTAGGAAATCAGAGAGTTTTGCTCAATTGTCAACTCTGTATCAATGTCGACAACATTTTCGTCGGCGTAAAATTCTCCTTCTGCCTCGCTGTGGAACTGGAACACATGCGAGTCATCTGCGATTTTGTAAAGTATTCTGCCTGCCGTTTCCTCTTCAAACTGCCAACCTTTCCAAAACATTGAGGGAGATTAAATAACATGTTATTCTTCTGAATTTTTTGATTCATTGAAACAACCATTCTCTACAAATTAGGTAAGGTGAGTCTAGAGCGTTTTCACGAAAGTGGCCTTCTTCAGCACTAGGTTTACAGAGTATAGATTCCAGAAATGGGCGGGTTTTTGTGTGAAGGTGTGGAAATTCACCAATCTCCCATAGTTTTTTGAGTGTGTGCTAATAATGATGGCATAACTGTCAATCAAAAGCGCATTTTTTACCAAAAAAAACATGAACATATAACAACGATAATCACGCTTAATAGACGCGTTCGCTCACGTTCCCGTTAGTGCTGATAACGATGTCAATCCACAGCACATTTTTTACTATTAACTTGCTCCACCTCGCTCTTATTAGGTCGTCCCGGAAGTTTTTGCGCACGATTTTCAAAAATTCATAACTTCTGATTTTTCCAACCGATTTGACTGCTTTCACTTTTTTGTAAAAGCGTAAGTCATGTCTCTTTATAATGACATCTCAGCTGCTTAGTAATGGTCATCTATTGCATAAATAGGAGCGATAGAAGAAAAATGGTCAAAATTTGAATTTTCTGTCATAGGGTCATAAAAAATGGGAGACTCGCAAAATATCGGAGCAGTCAGTGTTGTAGGTTCTTTCACCAGCTCTTTCTAACAGTGCAAAGTTTGCGCCGATTGAGCGTCTCTATGAAAATTTATGATTACCCTGAAAAATGCCAAAATAAACCAAGTTCGCCCTTTCGTATTGCTTGCTCGAAAATCATAATTTTCATAGAGACCCTCAATCAGCGCAAACTTTGCACTGCCAGAAAGAGCTGTGGCCGTATTCATCAACGAACCCCGAGGGTTAAACTAACCCTGGAGGGGTAGTTTAACCCTGGAAAGCGTTTAACCCGTATTCATGAAACACAGGGTAGGCTTAACCCTGAGGGTTAAATCTAACCTTGAGGGTTAATTTTACCCCGAAAGCGACTAACCCGTATTCATCAACGAACCGTGAGGGTTAAACTAACCCTGGAGGGTTGAACTTACGTGATTCATCAGGGTTAATTTAACCCTAGCTCAGAGCAAGGTTAACTCTACCCTAACACTTCATACAAACATCTACTCGCATCTAATAGTTCTATAGAAAACGATCAACGAGTGTTGTAGTACTTAGTATTAGCTGTTGCTATAGTATCTAGTTTCAACTTCGTTTCTGTTCAGATTCGAAGTACATGAAACGCTGACTTCGCGAGAAAAAAATCCTAGCTTGGTGACAAATGAATGCAACGAGGAAAAATGGTTGCGCATTCCACTCTGACAAGTGCCAAAACAGAAGAATTCCTATGATAACACGCATTGACCCTCAAAAGAGAGCACAAGCCCGGTATAAAACGAACTACGCAAAGGAACTTACACGGCACAATTGCACACATGAAAATAAACCCACGCTGTAAGATTAGGTGCTGCACAAATATGCTAGAGATGTATCATAAAAACTAGTGCTAGAAGCTTATTCGCTGATTATACTACTATAACAGTGAAAGAATAGAAATATAAAGTAAATTTAGCGTACTTAGGCATTCTGTGATGTGAGTTTGCACAGCGCACGCATAACTGACGCCTTAACCCTCCAGGGTTAGTTTAACCCTCAGGGTTCATTGGCCGTATTCATCAACCATAGGGTTCGTTGATAAATACGGCCACAGGTTCGCCGATCGATACGGGTAGATCGCGTTCCGTGGTAAACCCTAGCCTATGGTTGATGAATACGGCAAATGAACCCTGAGGGTTAAACTAACCCTGGAGGGAAGCTTAACCCTCAGGGTTCGTTGATGAATACGGCCACTGGTGAAGGAACCTACAATACTGACTGCTTCGATTTTTGTTGCAAGTCTCCGATTTTTCATGGCCCTACACAGAAAATTCAAATTTTGACCAATTTTCTTCTATCGCTCCTATCTATGCAACAGATGACCATTACTAAACAGCTGAGATGTCTTTGTAAAGAGCATGACTTACCCTTTCACATAAAAGTGGAAGCAGTCAAATCGGTTGGAAAAATCAGAAGTTATTAATTTTTGAAAATCGTGCGCAAAAACTTTCGGGACGACCTACACAATGTGTTGGCTTTTATGGGTCACGGGAGCAAATGATTTTTAGAGCCGGGAAGCAAAACAGCCTTAACATGCTTTATACCATTCGAAAGCTGAGATCATGGAGAATCGACGTGGACCGTCGACTTTTTTCTAGGTCTTCTGTGCCGCGAGATATGAGGGATTTTATGTGCTTCAAAAATTAACTGATTTTGTGTCCTCACTTTCTGTTCCCTAAATGAATGCTACGAAAAGGTCGACGGTCTACGTTTGTTAATGAAGACTTGCTCTTTAACAAAGATAGATAGACAGCAGTGATTAGGTCTTCATTTGGCAGAAATCTGCTGTTGAAAATGACCATGTTTTCAGATAAAATGCGGTGTATCTCTCGGTAGAGGGGGGGCTAGAAAGAAGTCGACGGTCTAGGTCGAATCCCCTTTTCCTGAGCTTTCGAATGGTTTATAGGTTGCCGAGCGAAAAAACTAACGAGTTTTCAAAAATGGGGTGGAGATATTTACTATTAGCTTGCTCCATCCAGCTCCACCAATGTATTGGCTTTTATCGGTTACCGGAGCAAATGATTTTTAGAGCCGGGAAGCAAAACAGCCTTAACATGCTTTATACCGTTCGAAAGCTGAGATCATGGAGAATCGACGTAGACCGTCGACTTTTTTCTAGGTCTTCTGTGCCGCGAGATATGAAGGATTTTATGTGCTTCAAAAACCAACTGCTTTTTTGTCCTCACTTTCTGCTCTCCAAATGAATGCTACGAGGATAAATCTTATATATAAAGCTGAATGTCTGTTTGTATGTATGTATGTCTGTCTGTCTGTATGTGTGTACGTATGTTCCGAATAGAGAA